GAAGTCAGGATCTGACCAAAAAGTCAAAGAGTAAAGCGAGACTGATGTTGAATGGGAAAGTTGGGATTGAACAGGGACAGATGTAGAATAGTCAGGGATAGTAGTAGCACACTACATGTAACTCTGGTGCTTGCTTAAGAGTGAGTGTTTATCAGTTTATCCTGTAACTGTGTCCTGAAGTAACTCAAGCCCTTTCTGCCACGTGTCTGGCATTGCATAATTCTGACCTGTTTATCAAGCAGCAGCAATGGAACTTGCTGTTCATTTTTTTCCCCTATGTGTTGGGATCCAGGTAGTCTGCCAAGAAGGTCAGCATATCAGCTTTTTCTTGTTAGCAGGCCAAACAGAACTTCAGTTTGGTGTTGAACATAAAAAAATGTCCTACCAAGCCCTACTCATGGTTTTTGTTTTTCTTTCTTCCCATTCTTTGATTGCACGATCTGAGCTATTCTGCATCTTGTTAGTAAATATATAGGTATATTTTGGGTTTGGGTGTTGAGGGGTTCAGTTCAAAGGGATGTAAATTTAACCTCTTTTTGCTCAATAGCTGTTGAAGTCCTGCCTATAGTGGTTGTGATTCTATATTTGCATGTTCAAAGTGCTGCCTTCAAAATGAGCTGTAGTGAGAACAATCTTAGAGTTGGGACACTGAGATTCTGCTTTGACCACTAGCATGAGCCAGGTGGCCAAATCCTTTCTGTTCTCTGCCTGTCTCCCCTATTTAAAATGATTTTGTGCTTCTGAAGAGAGGATGGGGAAGGGAAAGGAAAGAGGGAAAAAACTGTAAACTGGACTCTGCAGCCGCTCTAGGTCACTTGATTTTGATCTATAGAGTATAGGCCATCAGGAGTCCAAGATCTGTGTTTTATAAGAAAAAGCACATTCTCCAATTTTGTCCAGATTTGTGAAATTTTGAGAGGAATCTGCACTTGCAGTTGAGAATTTTTAGCTTGGCCACAGCTGCACGTAGGTGCTGAGTGTCCATTGCTCTAGACATGGCTATCACCAAGAGACCAGAATGGGATGTTCTTTAAACAGCCTTGTTGGAATGAGCTACCAATCACAAACTGTCAGTACATGGGTGCTCCCAGGGTTTTCTTAGGAGCAGCTGCCTGCACCTCTCTGTCAGGGATGGACTGCTGGAGCTGCTGAGGATTGTGAGACTGGGGGAGGTGCGAGATTGAGGAGCTGTGGGAGCAAGCTGAGGCAATGTGCCCCAGCAGGGAGATGCACATGAAAATCTGTGCAAATGGAGCTTTGTCACAAGAGCCGTGATGCATTTTGGAGTGATGACAATGACTTCATGGAAATATCAGGTCTATGGTAAAAAGGACAATAAAGAGAAAACGCTAGGATTAACTTGTAGAGGACTAGGAAACAGTGCAGAGAAAAGTGCAGCCTGCTTCCCTTCTCCGTGGGCCACCTTCATTCTCACAAGCAACACTGTAAATCCAGAGGAGGTTCAGATGATGATGTCAGAAAAGCAGGAAATAGCTAAATAAGTTAGGAGTCATCAGCCTGGGAAAGGGATAATTATGGGGGATTTTGCAGAGGTCTGTATACTGACGTATGTTCTGGAGACACCCAGGTCCATAGTTTGTCATCTTCTCCAGTGCAAGAACCACAGGATATATCCAAGTAATAGGAGGCACATTTTCATTGCTTGCAGTTACGCTGTTAAACTCCTTGCAGGGCACAATTAATGATAGGAGTGTTTATATATTCTTAATGGAGGTTTGAACAATTTACTGGAAACAATTTTTTTTCCAGGAGTACTGAGTGAAGAGAATCTCCATCTGGCTCAGTCTGACTGTGCAAGGTGGTAACACTGTTCAGTCAGGGTGTGATACGTTCACATCCTGTACCTCTGCTGTCTCACTTCTTGAGGAGTGTCCTTGTCTGGGCTGGCCCCCTATCCCACAGGGACAGCCTTTTTAAGAGCATGTAAGAGCACCTCATCTCTGCCCTCCAAGTCACAACAGTGACTTCTGCAAGTACTTAAGTACAAGTGGCACAGAGGTTAAACTGTCTGGAGAATTTGCAGATGCAGCTGTGGGGAGGCTTTCAGGAAGTTCCAGTTCAGTCCTTATTAAAGCACTGCTGGATTTTGTAGAGGAGGAAGCTGTTGAGTAACTGGAGGCTCAAAGGTTGTCGTGGGAGTCACAGAGGAGGTTGCAATATGCTGGACCCATTCCTAGATGGCAATAGCAAATTGGTAATGGTGCAGGAAAAGCCCAAGTTTTCAGAAAGTGTTTTGAGAAAACTTGGAGTCTGTGTTTTCAAAATACATGTGATGAGTTACTCCCCACTCTGCTGGTAATCCAGGATAATGCCGAATGCTTCCAATAGGGATACACTATTTAAATCAACAGGCCCAGATAACTTTGACCTAGAAGTACTAGAAGTGCTGATTGTTGTTTTTAATTTAGATTATTAGGAAATTTCAGAAGATTGGCTGGAGCTGGCCAGTGCTGGAATGACCCATATGCCACCGCCCTCATGTTTATTTTGGGCAGAATTTTGGAAATAGGGATCTGTTTTTTATTAATAAATAACTTAAGGTTAGGCATATAATTAATGCCACTCAGTTTATGTTTACAGTGAGTACAGTAAGTTCACTCAAACAACTCTGGCTTGTTTTTTTAAGATGACCATGGTGATCGGATAAGGCTGACAGTCTAGATTTAAAGCCCCTAGTGTGGTGCCAGGTCTGGGTTCAGCACTACACAACATTTGAGTTGGAAAAGTAAACTCTGCATATCATTAGCAAAGTGCTGGGTGAGCAAATTTCCTTAACTGGTTATGTTAGTGGTTTTCTGGGGAGAGTAAGATTTAAAACAAGCTTTATCCAGGCGTTGTTGTTGTTGTTTGTACCACGTTTGTCATTGTCTTCAAGGCCTTTATTCAGTCACTTCTCACTGGAGTTCACCACCACCGTTAGTGCTACAGCAAGAAATGACACTGTGAAGCCCAAGTCATAATGGAGTAGGAGGAGGGTTTTTTCAGTAGGATCGGCTTTGATCTGTAGGTAATGAAACCTTTATTTTTTCCACTGCAGAACCAGTAGTGCCTGCATTGGCACAAGCATTTAGTGAGCTCATCCTCACAGTTGGACATGCTGTGTTATTTCTTATGGGAGCCTTACCCAGTACATGATGTGTAAGCACTTCACTGCTTAATTGTAACTGATGACAAGTTCTTGGTAGCTGCTTTGTAATGCCAGAAATGTTTTGTATGAAGACCTAGAATTTTGTGTTTGGATTGTTCTAAGAGTAGGTTAGGAGATAAATTGATTTAAGTTACCATCTGAAATACAGCTTACCAACAGCTTCATTAAAACAGTTCTGAACTGACACTCATGTAACAGGTCTGGTTTTGGGGAGTCTAAAATAATAGATCAGTGAAGGCAACAGAGAAATAAACGGGATAGTGGAAAGGAGCCACAGTTTTAAAAATTAGAAAATATTTCAGTGATATTTTTACTGGATGGAGTCTTAGCAGTGGAAGTTTGACAACAGACTCTAGAGCCCCTATCGCTTCCTCCTTTGTTTTGGCAAGTCAATTTGGCATCGTTTTTGTGCTTGCTGAGGGTGCTGCCTGTGCTGTTGTCCCTGTCTTTCATGAAGATTTGAAGCAGGACTGGTGCTACTGTCAACAGCTTGTTTGGAGCTGACTCTTGGGACATCTCAGTCTGTTCCTGTTGGATGTGTGGGACTAAACAGAGGAAATTACTCACCATTTCTAGACTAGAATTTGCTGGGAGTCCTTCACGCCTTTCACTTCCAAACTTTGCTCTGAGGTCCAAAATCTTGGACTGTGACATGTTTCAGTCTTGCTGCATTCCCTGACTTTCCCACTGGCATTCATTTGGTGTTGTACAATTAACAGGGCCTTAGACATGCACTTACTGTTGTGTCCTTTTCTGAGAAACCCTGAGCATGTGGGTGCTGATGCCACAGTGTTGTAGCACTATTTTACAAGATGAGATTTCTAGTGCCCTCATATTGTTGTTGGCTTTGGAGGAAGATTCTGGTTCAGAAATGCTGCAGCCCACTTTTGCAGGGCTTTGCTCTGTAATTCTCAGTGTGCTCAGTCTTTTTGTGCTTCATTGCACTTCCTGCACAATCTTTGTGTTTCTTACACAGTCCCTTTGCCAGAGCCATCACTCCCCACTTAACAGAATCTGCACTACCCTTGGCTGTAAAAGGTCAGTAGATGGCCAAAGCACCTTCTTTTGCTTCCCTAAGGATCCAGCCATATCCATATAAAGCACAGGTGCTTGTTTTCAGTGTTGTATCACTTTCTGGTAGAAGTCTGTCTCTCTGTGAGATGTGGCTTTCATTGTGCAATTCAGAGCAATGCTTCAAATGAAGTTACTGGGATATACAGAAAAGAACAAGTGGACAGGGTGCAATCCCTAAGCCCAGCTGTTAGCCTTAGCACGATGTTACTGGCAGAAGAAATAAAATATATTAATATTAGAACTGACCATTTGCATTGAACTCCCCTTTGACATCCGAGGGTCGTGTTTTAAGCTGTCTGCAGAACAGGAAATACTGTATCCCAAGGGAAACAGAAATCCTTATCAACTGCAGAAGGGAAATACAGATTTGAGAATGCAAAAATTGCCTCTCTCCATTTGGTACACTTGTGACAGCTCTTACAGACAAAGCTGCAAGTGTCTGAGGATCATTTTGTTAAATGCTTTTGCAGGAAGATTTTGTTTTTGGGAAACACAAATGTTTTACAAAAGTAGTTTGTTTCACCTCAGGCAAGATAAAAGAGAAGCAGGTTGAAACGCAGATGATGTGTTCTGATTAAAGACTATTAATTTGTTTTCAGTTACTGGTATGTGAAAATTAATATTGGGATGAATCAGGAGTAGGAATCAAATTTTAAAACTCCCACAGAAAACTGTGTCCTGAGAGTTGTAGTAGTTCCGTGTGGTTCTGCTGAACTGGCTTCACTGCTGTCCTCTTCTTTTCCCTTGTCTTTTGCAGGATGGGATAAACATTCTTATGGGTACCATGGTGACGATGGGCACTCCTTCTGTTCCTCGGGGACAGGGCAGCCCTATGGCCCCACATTCACCACTGGAGATGTGATTGGCTGCTGTGTCAACCTTATCAACAACACCTGCTTCTACACAAAAAATGGCCACAGTTTAGGTAAGTGAAGGAAGGTGTTCTCAGGAGAGGGATGCTCCAGCCCTGCTCTCGCTGCTCTTTAATACTTTGCTTGTACCGTAACTCTTGTCCCACACCTGTGAGTAAGGTTTAAATGGCAGAGGAAAAGAGCACTCAGCAGCTGTCAGCAGTTGTAAATTGGCTCCAAGACAGAAATACTCCCAACAGGTAAAATGGTTTCCATGCTGCTCAGTTTGTTTAGATACATTAGAATTTCATCCACAGCTTCTACTGTTTTCCTCTGCTACTGCACAGTAGGTGGGAGGTTGGATAAGATGTCTAATGACTGGACAACAGGGAAAGAAAGAAAGAAGTGGGAAACATAATAAGTGTGTTGTTCAACTACTTACAAAGCCATGGTACTGGTGTCTTCATTTTTGAAGGGACTAAAAGCCTCAGCACATTGGTCCGAGCATTCCCAAAGCCAGACATTAATTCAGTACAGGAGGTCTTACTTAAGCACTGAGCTATGGTTTGGTTCATTCCACACTTGTTTCAGTAACTGTCCTAAAGTTAAGGACTTAAAATTTTTGCCCAAATTAATATCTCAGATGTTTTCCAGGCTTATGTCTGGAAATATCTGTCATATCTTATTTGTCTAAAATCAAAATTTTTGGCCATTTTCCCCTAAAAAACCTTTTCCTTGGATGACATGTTATCCACCCCAGATAATTTTTTTTTATTATTTTTTTTGTCACATAAGATGTGCAGTAAGTTTTTATAAGTTCATCTCACTTTTTGTGCTAGGATTCATTTGATTTGGCAGGGAGGGACGGGCACTCCTTTCCTTTGCTTCTCCTTGCTGTGTCAATTGTACTTTGTTGAATTCAAGATTAAATTGGTAGAAAAATACCAAAAGTACCCTGCTCAAAACCCTTAACAGAGCAAAGATGTTTTGAGTTACTGGCTGGGCTGAAGGAAGGAGTGGGATTGGAGTGCAGTGTGCCTGGAGAGTGCAGAATTTCTGCCGAGCTCTTGAGAGAAGTACTGGGCTCCCCAATATTAGGGAGAGATGGATTTACTGGAGAGAGTCCAGTAAAGGGCTGCCAAGGTGATGAAGGGTTTGGAGCATCTGTCCTAGAAGGAAAGGCTGGGAGAGCTGGGGTTGTTGAGGCTGCCCATGTCAGTCCAGTACTGGTAAGACAAGTAGAGGCTTGAAAGCAACGGCTGATGGTGTGTAGAGCAGGAGCTTTTACTTAGAAATGAGACAAGATAAAACAACAGCCACTGAGGTAATGAAATAGTTAAAAAGATTTCACAAAATCTTTCCTTTTAGTTGCTGTCCTTGATTTTTAGCATATATTTACACAGAAGCCCTGTAGTGGTTTGTGCTGTGCTCCTCTGGATGTTTTCTGTTGTTGAAGTGAGTGGTTTTCCAGCTTCATTGTTTTTCACCCTGACAGTGCTGTTCCTTTTCATCATAACAAAAGTGTGAGAGTCAGGAGGAGGCCAGGTCTTCTATTTAATTAATACAAGTTTGTTCATTTGATATTTACTTTCTTTTTAATGGCCAGAATCTCCATAGTATAAGCTGTATCAGTTGAAAAGTTGCTGCTTTCTCCTTCTCTGTGTTGTACCCAGGACTGTGTTGTGCCTGGATGTCTGGGCAGATTAAGCCAAATGAAGAGCCCAGTTCAGAAACTTCTGTGTTACCTTTTGTCACGATGACCCTCTGATTCTTTGCCTCGTGTACTTGCTCAGAGATTGGTTTTGTTTGGGACATTCAGAGTTCTTTACAGCAGTGAAGTTATCTAGTCGTCCTTTCTTAAATTTAAGTGTTCCTTTTCCTTCAAAGATTGGGCTTTTTTTGGATGGAAAGCTCAAGTTTTTCTAATCTGACATTGAATCACCCCTCGAGGAACAGCCTGCCCCAGGGGTGAACAGTGCCAGTGGGAAGAAACAGGAAGGGTGACAAGGTTACCGTGCTTAGAGAATTATTAATTATAATAATTAATAATATATAAATATAATAATGTATATAATCTATATTGTTATAAATAATATCTTATTATATTATTAGTTATAAGCATTGCTGTTCCCTGGGTGACCTCTTGAGCTCTTCAGATGACAGTAGAAGACATGAGCTCTCTGAGAAAAGGACAGGTAGAAGCCTCTCCTTAACATTCACAGCTGGCTCCTCTGTGTAGCAGCTTTTCTTTGAGCTGTAGTGGCATAATGGTTGTACTGATGGAGCAGAGATGGTGTGGTTAGAGGAGACAGGGATGGAAGTGCAGAAGGAAGCAGCAGACCCCAGGCCTTGCTGGGTGACCCCACAAAAGCTGCAGGAACATTTTACTGCCTTTTTACGAAAGCAGAATGAAAACCTCATCTGAGGAGGCTGTTGGTAAGGACCAGAAGTGTCTGTTTGTGTCTCTGATAAAGAAACACAGCATCCAGGAGAAGTGCTTCCTGTGGAATGCTGAGGAGAGGAGCCCCTTGACCAGTGGTGACACAGCTCCTCATGGGCACTGAGCAGAGAGCTGTGAGGAGGAGGTGAGACAGGTGTCAGCAGAGGAACCAAGGCTAAATGGAGGAAGGAGCAGTGATTTACTTGGAAGTCAGAATGCTTTCTTCCCTGAAAGAAGCAACTCCTTGAAGGTCTTGAAGTTCCATGGTATTTAGTGCCAACTTGAGAATCTCATTTCTATGCTGTGTAAAGCAAAGGTTTACCAGGAAGGGGATGAATGTGTTTTTTCTAGGTGTTCCCTGACATGAAGCTGTGGAAGCCATGTATGTCTCCTTCTAGGAGATGAGGTAATTGTGTAATCCTACTGCAGATTCCAAGAATATTCATGAGACTAATCAGCCCCTTTGTTAGGCCAGTTAGCTTGAGAGCATGGTTTCAGAGTTTGAATTTGTCCTTCTTTTAATGGAATTACTGTAGCTTTGTCTTTCCAATTCACTCTTCACCATTTCATCTATTAATTAGACACCATCCTTTTGTTTTCCTTGCAATTTCTTCTGTTGCTTAACTATTATCTTCCATTGTCTCCATACTTTTTCATTTAATCAGATCCATCAGGAGCACTGTATAAGAACTGTTTTCTTGGCCATCACAAATTCTGGATGTTCTGGTTGGAGCTAAGTCTTGAACTTTGTTTGGAGACGTCACATGAGAACTGTTTGACATCGTATGTAGTCTTAATTCTCTGTTCTGGAAAATGTCTTGAATGTCTTCTGGCTGCTGGTGAAACACTTTTGACAAGTTCTGAGCGGAGTCCTGGCAGTAAAAAACATAATGAGATGTGGCTAGAAGTGTGATGAGAGTGAATTTGGAGAGAAAGAGGGAGAAATGTTGGGGTGCCAGCCCTTGAGCAGAAACTCTTGGACCAGGACATGAGGAGGAAATGTGACTGCTGCAGGTCTCTGGGTTTAAGTGGATGAGTTTGCTCAGGGACTAATGTAGGAGTGTCTCAGATCTCAGACTTTGACAGCAGACCAAGGTAAATGGAGCAGCAGGGCTATAAAAAGAGCATGCAACCCTCTGAAGTCTTGGCATAGAAAACTTCCTGTAGTTTGAGTTCTAGTGCAGGCTTTTGGACAGACCAAGTTAACCTAAAAAGTAAAATATCCATTCTGAAGCCAGTTTAGGAGGAGCATAAGGGGTAATGTAGAAATCTGTTGTCATAGAGAGATGCAGATGTCAGTCCTAGGTTTAATAGGTTTGACCCCAAAGCTTCAAATTAAGTTTGCAGGGAGCAAGAGCATTGAAATGTTCAAAACAAAACTTCAGATAAATCAAGTTTAAAATCGTAGAATCCTGGAATGGTTTGTGTTGGAAGAGCCCTTAAAGATCATGTTCCAACCTCTCTGCTGTGGGCAGGGACACCTTCCAGTAGACCAGATTGTACAGGGCCCCATCCACCTTGGTCTTGAACACTTCCAGGGATGGGGCTGCCACAGCTTCTCTGGACAACCTGTGCCAGGGCCTCACCACCCTCATTCACTACCAAAATGAACAGAAAATACCAGACTTGGCTACAGCCTTGTTCTCAATATGAGCAGTTTTATCCAAGTGGCCTGATTGGAGGTTATCTGTTTCCAGGGGCATGTAGAGCTATGTGGGTTTGACAGTGCTTCTCCTCAGCAGCACGTTGGAGAAATATTCAAGTATTTTCCTGGGCTGGCATTTGCCAGTCTGCTCTTTAGGATGACCACACTGCTGAACGTGTTGTGCTTATTGCAATCCACCAGCACTGCTTAAGGATTCTCTGCATCACAGTTACCTAAACACATGCTGGAGGGGTACCCTGCTGTGGAGTGCTGTGTCTGATTACCCAAATGTTTGTTGTCTTGTGCAAATTGAATACTGTAAGTGGCCAGTTGTGAGGCAGACAGGATGATTGTTGCTGGGTGGAGCGCAGAGATGGGCTGGAAGGTCCACAAACACGTTCTGTGCATGGGGTCATGCGTGTGAGTGCACTTCAGTCATGGAAAGTGGGAGTACTTTGGTAGGCAGGTGAAGATGTCAATCACACTGTGCCCTAGCACTGAACCTTCATTTAGTGTCTTTGTAGCACTGCCTTGATGATCACATTAACTTCCTGGACTTAGGGGAGGGGCACTTCACACACTGGCTCTTGCTTCCTGATCTCTTGATTTGTCCAGTCCTTAAGTCTTTAAGAAGGTTGTGGTTTTAAACTGGATCCAGGCTTTGGAGGGGCTGCAGAGAAAAAAAACCAAACAGTTTCGCATTCAAGCTGTGATTATTTCTCTTTCTGCTGTTGGCTTTCCTGGATGAAGGTGTGTAGCAGTGCAGATGCAGACAGACTAAGCAGACATATCTGTCCAACAGACCAAGTGCTGTCTGCATAAAGCATTTTATCAGTCTGAATTACATAACAGAATGTGAAAAACATACATTTGTCTCATTGTAAAGGCAGTGTAATAAGTTTATTTATAGAATAATAGAATTATTTTCTCTGGGAGGGATCTCTGGAGGACAAGCATCCAACACCCTGCTGAAAGCAAGCCCAAACTAGATCATGTTGCTCAGAAACTCATCAAGTTTTTACTGTCTCCAAGAATGGCGATCACCTGGGGACTTCTCTGGGCCTGAATCAGTGTTTGACCAAAATTCATACTGAATTTTTCTAATTATAATTTCCCATGTTGCAGCTTGTCTCTGTTGCCTCCTGTCTCCTGCCACCATGCATCTCTGAGAAAAGCCTTTTTTATACCCTCCTATATGACAGCTGTAGGCAGCAATAAGTGTCTGCCCGAATGTTTTTAATACTGAGCAGAAACTTTTCCCTTAGCCTGTCTTTGTCTTGCTGGCCTCTGCTGGACTCCCTCCAGTCTCACTGTGTCCTGTTATTGGGGAGCTCTAAAGTGACCATCTTAACCAAAGTGTAGACTAGCAAGTGTTGGAAAATAAGGGAGAAATCCCATCCTTTAACCCACACTCTCACTAATGCAGCTCAGGATGTGGATGATCTCCTTTGCTGCAAGGACCCACGGGCTGGCTCCTGCTCTACCTGTTAACCAGCAGGACCCTGAATCTTTTCTGCAGGTCTCCTTTCTCTCCAGTCAGCCTCATCCTGTCCTGTTTTCTGGGAGTATCACAACCTGGTTGGTGGCAGGGCTCTTAGGTTGCTTTTGTTGAGCTTTGAGAGGCTTGTGCTGGATCATTTCTCCAGCTGTGCCCTCCAGCCCATTGTCCACTCTCACGTTTGGTGACACCAGTGAGCCTGCTGGGAGCACACTTCGTCCCATTGTCCAGGTCATTAGTGAAGACAAGAAACTATTGGCCCTCCCATCAATCCCTGAGGGACAACTCTTGGACTTTGAGCTGCTGATCACAATTCTGCCATCCTGACAGTGTTCCACCCACCTTGTAGTCCATTCAAAAACCATGTGCTTGTCCAGGTGCTGGAAGCAGCTTCCAGCCACTCAGCTACACAAGCCTTGCCACCTTTGGCTCTGAGAGATGCTGGGGGCAGAGGAAGACTCCAGTGGACAGCTGGCTCAAGGAGATTGGCCTCATTCTGGCATAAGGGCAGGAAAAAGCTTTCATCCACCTTTTCATCCAGCTGAGCAAAATAATTGCAAAGTGAAAAAAAGGTTTGAGTGAGGAACAATATCTGGACAAAGTGACAAGGTGAGAGAAATGCTTACTGAATGTTTTCCTCAGCCACATGTTCAACATCACCTGTGTGCACAATCTTTGGTTGGCTTGTAGAGAGGGTGCTCAATAAACAAGGTCCAAACTGCCAGGATGTTCATTAAACCATACTGACTATCTGCCATGATGTTAATGTAACTTTATTGGGCTGTTTGTTTAGTAAAATATTTGGGATTTCTTTCCAAGCATTTGATTTGGATCTGTGCTGTTTTGAATAGAAATTACTTGTTTCCTATCTCGACTCCCAAAACTAGTTTAAATTACCATTTCAGAGTGATCTGGTAATGTTACACTGCAGCTCTGGGTTAAAATAGTTTTAAAATTAAAAACAGAAGGTGCTGTTCTGCTTCTGCAGTGCCTTCCAGTGCCAGGCAGAAGGGAAGGAGGAGAGGTGGGACGTGTGTGAGAACTGGGTGTACTGGTGTGGGTACCAGCCTTCCTCTGGCTGGGGACAAGAAAGCATTCTTGGGAGCACACATGGGGAAAGACTTCAGCTTCCAGACTGACTCCTGGAATGTTAGCTGGAAGTCTGGATTTAGCTCAGCCTGATGAGGTGGTGGCAGCAGTGTCCCCTGTGCTGTTGGTGAGGGTGACCCAAAGCCTGTGGGCACCATCCTTTGGAGCAGTAACTGGCACCTAAGGCAGATGCAGAGGCCTTAGGTAGCCTGGCTGTGGCCCGTGTTGTCTCTAGCCAAAACTCTGTTAGCCATCCCAGGCAATGGCTCTTTCCTGATATGCCAGACGTAAATAAAAAGGGAAACCATACACTTTTTTTCCTGTCTTTTCTATTTGGAATTGTATCAGCCAAGTTGAGGATGAGGCTGTTCTTTGCACAGTGTTTCTCAGGTGCTCCTGGCTGCAGCTCGGTCCTGTTGCAAGGCTGTTCCCCAGCTGTCATGCCAAGTGCTGAATATTCATTCCTGTTTCTCTGGCTGATAAGAAGAACCAATTACAGCCTAAACCAAAGCAATTTTGTACTAAAACTCTGTTTCTAACACCAAAGCGAGTCTTGAAAACTCTCCTTCATGGTAACAGAGGGAGAAGCAAAGGAAAGAAGAGCTGCTTTCAGAAAATCAGATTTTTGGGAGAGATATTGAAAACATTTAGGCTTTTTCCTGAACCTTTCTCCAGATGCAAAAACTTGCAGAGGAGGGGACTGGGGAGGGAAATTACTTCTAAATACATGATGTAGTGAAATGCAGGGGCAGAGCTGGGATTTATTGAAGTGCAGTAATGTTTTGTAGCATGTTAAGGATGTAGGCAAGCAGGGAAAAAATCCTTTGTCTTTTTAATTCTAATATTTTTCCCCCCACAGGTATAGCCTTTACAGACCTCCCTGTAAGTACACCTATTTTCAGTATTTTAACTAAGAATGCAAACAGAAGGGAGGGGGAAGAGTGTGGGGGTGTGATTTATTTTTTTTTTTTCTGTTTGATGCCCTGTTGAAAAAAACATGATAACACACATTACTGAATGATGTGAATGCTCCTTTTTCTGAAACTTCATAATCCTGTGACTGGGTTTGTGGGCTATTCACATGCCTCCTCTCATCCCTCACCGCCTCTAAGAATATGTTGCTCTTTCTGCTGGAATTAAAGCAAGGATGCCAACTTCATTACAGGCCATTGTCTTCCAAATGCAGCTTCCACTCTGAGGAGGAGTACATGTGCACAGTTACACTGATGTCTAGTCAGGTCTCACAAAAGCACAGAGGGTCACGAACAAGAAAATATTCCCTCTTTTCTAGACCCAAGTGTTCCTGGACAAGGAGGATGTGTTCACTGAAAAAAGGTAAAACCAGGTCAGGCATACATCAACACATCCACTGCATCCATCTCTCATACACAGGACTTCTTGTCCCTAAGGTTGCACTCCTGTCTTTGTACTTAATAACCCCAAATTAATTTCCTCTGACAAATTTCTTTGTTTTGGTAACTTCTTTAGGCCTCCAAAGTGATCCATTTTCTTGGCTGACTTCCCTGTTGTGTGAAGGAAAGGTTGCTTTGTTTCGTTCTGTACTTCCTGTGAAAACATATATCTTGTTCCTCCAATTTTTGTATTGTAAGAAATAATGGCTAGCACTCCCTGTTCACCTTCCCAATGGGATTCAGGGCTTTACAGATTTCTGCCATATCCCAACTACAGCCTGCACTTAAATTGTGGTTATTTGATTGGCCTTTTCACATCAACTGTCAATACAGGGTGTTTCTAGGTGTCCTAGGGTCTTTGAGGTAACATTGCAGTGTGTTCTAAACCAGAAACTCTTTATGTGGGTTGTTTCACAGCAGTTCATTCACTTGGTCCAAGTACAATTTATTAAAGTACAAGAATAGTTTACCTTTCCATGAAGATTAACCTTTTGGAGTGAGGTATTGTGATAACCTTGCATCCATAGCAAGAAGATGCTTCTCTGATGTGCCCCTTAGTTTTTGGTGCTGTTTGTTTTCTCTCTGGATATAGATTGCATTAGTAGTCACAGATTTACATATTCCTTCTAATTTTTTCACCACTTTGTCATTTCATTTGGCTAGACTGCTTCTCCTTCTGCAACAGGAGCAGTCTCCATGTTGAGATAGACAAAGGATATTTAGACTGGTGTTGATCAAAAATATCTGTCCAGCACATGTACCACTGCTTTGTCATTTAGTTTTGTAACCATTGCCATGGAACTTCACAGCACAGATTTGGCAGGTTGAAATTCCCTCTCCTGCTTAGCTTAGCTTGCATGCTGTTGATCCTGGAGTGCACAGTGAGCTGACACAGACATTTAATGTTCATGTGTAAGCTGTTCACCTCTGTGCTGAGTCTCTGTTAGGCACAGGGGCTGAGCAGCTGGGAAGCAGAGCAGACAGAAGGGTGTTTGCTGCAGTGAGGTCTCACAGTGCCAATGAGATTGAACTCAAAACTCTCCTGAGCCCCTGACATCTCCCTATCCTGCTCTTTATTGATCTGGTCGGGTCATCCTTACAGGATCTGGGGCTTGTCTGTGTGTATTGTGCAGAGGAGATGTCTTAGTGTGAAACTGGGAGATGGCCAGGCTAGGTTTTGGCAGATGCCTTGTGGTGGAATCTCCAGTGGTTAAATGGTGTGTAAGTGGTCTCTGTGCCTTGTGAGTTGTTTTCTGGGGAAATCCCCTTCTGGCTTTTATTAGCAGCAGCTAATCCATAACATTGTTTTTCTGGGCCAGGGAGGAGAACAGCTGATGCCCTGTTAGGCCTCCTGCGATTGAGAATTATCCTTCATGAGGTAATTCCTCTCTAAAAAGAGGAGAAGAGAAGCTTGACAGGGTCTTTTCACCCCTTATCTGTGGATGTGAACAAGGATAGGAGACTTCTGCCTCCATGTGGCTCTAGGACATCCCTCTGCATATGCTAAATTGCTCTGTTGGCAGCTTCATCCTAAGGATGCCTGCACCTGACTTCAGCATTCTCTTTTCCAATGTCCTTCCCTTGGATTACTGCCTTCTTCCTTCACCCTTGCAGGTACCAATGTATTCCATGTGCTCTTTTTGCTTCCTTGTCCATGGGTTATAGGCTGTTCTAAACAGTTCAGATTACCTGCTTTTCTAAAGAAGGGGATGCCAAACCCAAGATAGACTTTGGTTTAAATATAATGAATGTTGTCAGAGATTGTAGAATTCTTGAGGCAGTAGAGAATATGAAATTGATCACTTGCAGGTGATGTTTTTCATTTTTTATAGTTCTGTTATCCAGGCTGAAACACAATATCCAGTAAGGTAAATAAGAGAAGTATCCGTTATAGGAAAGAGAAGGAATGTAGTCTGTGTTCTTCACCTGCTAAAGCTGCAGTTCTGAAAATTTAACTGTAAACAGGAGTGGGAACAGCAGACTTACTTGAGTGACCCTTGAAGTGCTCTGGTTTGAGAAGTTCCACATGGATTTTTTGGCTCTGATTCATTCCTCATTACTTACCCCTCCAGGAGGGCTTTAAGGAAGAGCTTTTCCTTGCATTACAGCCTTAGGGGTATTGAAGCTTCTTCTGGTAACACACATCACTGAGAAGCTTGGCCAGTAAGCCCCATTACTTCTACACTTTTTAAGCTTAAATGTTAGGGTTGGCATATCAGTGAGATTACACGAGGAATTAAATTGACCTTTCAAAACTTTGCCAGATTAGAAATAATTTCCTTGAAATGCTTGTTCCAAAATTCCCCTTTCAGAGGCAAATGGTGAAGGCAGTATTTTGCAAAATTCACAATATTAGGAAATTGAAATGGATACTTTCATTTGAAAACCAGAGACACATGTGTTGAAACACACTTTCTTTGGCTTATTTCAGTTTCCTCTAAAGGGTGTTTTCATTTGTACAAAAATATAGTGATAGGAAAAACCACATTTTGTCTTAGCACAGGCTGAAGTTAAAACCAAAATAACTGCTTAAAATTGGAGTGAATTCCCACAGAGGAAAAGAGGGAGTTTCCTTTTTCTTTTCTTCTTTTTTTTTTTCCAAATTAAGTCAGTGCTCAGGCCCAACTCGTATTTACACAAGCCTGGATCAAGTCTATCCTGCCTGGAGGTTTGAAGGAATAATAGGAGATTAAAAAAACCAGAAAAGCCCAGGGTGAGATTATAGGAGAGCAAAGAGACAAGGGGGTTAAAAACCAGGTCAGGATTAACAAGGGGGTCGTGAGCAACTGGGGACCAACATCAGGGCAAGAGGTGGGCCAAATGTCACAGAGAAGGTGTTCCTGGAGAATTTGGCAGGAAAAGCTGCTCCTGGGTCACTGGGCTCTGGGATCATGTCTGCCTGCACCTGGCAGGGTGCTGGAGATACGTGTAGTTCCCAACAGCTGCTAAACAGAGAGAACACATCCCACATGTGAAAAACAGAGATTTACCTCAGAGATGATTTGAGAGACGTGGAGGATAGGCAGCTTCTGCTCAAAGATGAACATAGCCAAAAGTGATTGAAAAATACATGACATCTTGTAAATTGCAGGGGCGGGGGGGGTTGCTTCCAAGTATTTTAGGTGTCTGGGGTTTAAGATACTGAGAAGATAACAAAAAGTCTGAAGTATGGACTGTGGAAAATATCTGATCCCTCATTAGGGACATTTCTGTGTCAGCCAGTTTTGAAAGAATGGAAGGACTAAATGTAATTCCAGCATTTTCCTCTGGTAGCTCTTCCTTTATCATGCTGCATTTACTTTGCACATCTCTGACCTAGAGACTTCCTTGGTGTGGGAATAGGAAAGGAGGAGGTGTGGTGAATCATCAGTAATGCAGTCATCCTGATCTCTGGTTTCAATTTATAGCCTGTATTTATAGATTAATTTCTTTGTTTTTTTGAAGTTTGATAATTTCTAAGGTAGAGGAGGTTGGTCAGGTTCTTACCCAGTTCAGTTTTGGATATATGAACAGAGATGCTGCAGTCCCTCTTGGGTTCCAGGCCTAAATCATCCTCATTTCTGCAACGGTGAAGATTAAGTTGAAGAAATTTTCCAGATAATTGTAGGAAAGCCCATGTTTCTTGCTGTAGAGGAGGAGAGGGTCATCCTAGGTTTTTGATTGGACTTAAGGAGAGAGGTCTGCCCCTTTACTGTTCTAATATCTGATATTCAGGGCTCAGCCCTGAGGAAGTCACCACAGCCAGGCACCTTCCAGACTTCAATTCCACACACGTGTCCCTGTGCCTTGCCCATTGTCCAGCTTCTGGCTCCACTCTTTTAGAGCAAAGTGGAAAAAACCCAACACCAAACAATTCCTGAGTGGCATGAGAGAGATTTCTTCCCTCACCCTGCAGACTCTCAGCACATGCTGTGAAGCAGAGAATTAGTGAAGTTTGTGTCTGTTTTGCAAACAGAGAAGTAATTTGTGCTGCACAGAAGTAACTTCACAGGGAATGGAACATGCTCTTGGAAAATGGGAGCAGTGATGAGAACCAGGCATCCCTGTACCTTTTCTGATGTTGTTTCTCTTTTCCCAGCATTTAAGTGGGCTCAGGGATTCCATTTGTATCCATAAGCTTATTCTTAAAATAGCATGAATTCAGAAAACTTCTGATAGACTTTGGATACCTATTTTCAATTAGATCATCCTTATAAGCTGAATTCTTGGCTGAATTTTAGAGGCACTTTCCTGGTGGTAACCTTTTTATTTTCCCCATGTTCTGGTGATGGGTCAAAGCTTCCATTTGGATCCATAGACTTATTCTTAAAATAAAATTTATCTATCAGTAGTGTCATTTCTTGTGTGGATATCTTGGGATCTTGGGATCATCAAAGACCTAACCTCAGATCACTGTCTATTCCCTTTTCATCAGAGATGTACAATACTGAGATAACAATTTCCAAGGAATGAAAGAGTTGAATTGAAACAGGAGGGAATACATTGATCCATTGATCAAGATGTCACACCTCTCATTTATTATTCTATATTTCATTACTATGATTATTATATATTGCCATTATTATTGCTGCTGTTGTTGTTATATTATCTGTTGGCTGTTGAGGCTTGGTAGAAATTGAAGGAAGCTGAGCCAGAAGTGGCCCTCCACAGACAGCAGTCATGGCCTCGATCACAGGCTGCTGGGGGATTGAGCCCGTTGTTCTGGTTTGATGCAAGAACTTTTCATAAGTGCACAATAAGTCATGGGATTCCTTCAGAAGTACTCAAAGGGCTGTTACCTCTTCTAATTCCATTGTATTCATTTCAGTTTAAAGAGCAGCTCTTTGGTTTTGCCAAACCACGTAACTGGAACCAGAAAGAGAAAGCTGTGTTTAGTACAGGTTTGTTTTTCTTCCTTCCCAGTCAAACCTCTACCCTACAGTGGGTCTCCAGACTCCAGGAGAGATTGTGGATGCCAACTTTGGGCAGCAGCCCTTTGTGTTTGACATCGAGGACTACATGAGGGAGTGGAGGGCGAAGATCCAGAGCACCATTAAGCGGTTTCCCATAGGAGACAGGCTGGGAGAGTGGCAAGCCATGCTGCAGAAGTAAGTCATTGCCTTGGTGTTCAGCTTCTTCCCTTTTGTTAGCCTTTAAATACTTCTTAAGTGCTAATTTGTGCTCTCTTATGGCAAAAATTGCCACTCTGTGCATTTTGCTCAAATTGTTTTACCCTCTGTTCTGTTTAATAGTCTTTCCTGTGCAGATTGCTGCTGTTTCAAATAGATATGGGAAAAGTTTTCAAACAAAGCTTGCATGAAGGCTTGTAGGAATGGAGGAACATGTATTTTGGGGTGATACACTGTGGGAGGGGAGAAGACACCATAAAAACTCTTAACATAGGAGAAACACCAGTATGTAAGTCATCTGAATTCAGAAATGAAAGGGCAAGAATTAGGCTAAACCAAAGGCTTCCAGACCTAACTGAAAGCATTATGGCATTTTATAAATTTATGGATATTGAAAACACTTCTCATTGCAAAAATGATTGAGTGGAACTTGATGAGAACAGTTGGCAGGAGTTGTCAGAGGTCAGGAGTGTTATTGATGCTGTTACTTGCCTTCCAAAATGGGACCAAATTGCAGAGCCAGAACCTCCCTTAACAAGAGCTGTTGATTCAGCTGCAGTGGGACCAATTTATCCCTTTCTTTGTTCCTTGTGTTCTCCAGAATTTTTTTCTTCTGATGTGCACAGTGGGGTTGTCAGGGTCACCACTCTGGAGTTCCTCCTGTAGAGCTCTTGGGCAGAAGCACTTGTATTTAAAACAACTTCTAAAAATTGCACACCTGCATACAATATTATGCCTAAAAATGATTGCTGACTCATAAAATACTTCTTTCTTGTACTGAAAGTAGCCAAGTTGAAGTGTGTGCTTTGAGCTGTGACTTGATCAGATCAATGCCAGCTTCATCATGAGAGAAGCCTGTTTTGAGATTCATCGTGAGAAGCTTTGAAATCCTGTTGCTGGCTTTTTAGATTTTGTTAAAATCCAGTGAGCATTAACATTGAGTCACTGTGTCTTGGGAAGGCACAAGTGCATTAGAAATGGTCTGTTTAGGAAGACGGTTTTGTTGTGTTTTCTGACAGTGATACTCCTCCCTCCCCCAAGATTTTTTGAAAATACAACTTTGAAGCACGTTAATGCTTTAAAAATCAATGCTGGCAGTCACCAGATTAAAGTATCTGTGAATGTGCAGAATTCATAAGGAGATTGAACTACTAAAGATATAATTGCTGGCAAGTAAGTGATGGAAGTAATTCAGGATCAGAATGTTTTCTTCTTTTTTAGATCCACTTGGAAGCCTTCAACCTCTCTGAGGTTCAGATTTATTTCTATATAGGATGTCACTGGCAGTAACACAGTATTGAGCCCTTACAAGTGACCCTTGGACAGCAGTCAAAAATAAATACTGTATATGCATTGAGATTATTAATATTTTAAATTTTTTTTTCCACTCTGTAAAGTGAATTTAGAGCTCCCTCCTAGAGCACCTCCAGGACCAGGTGCCTGTCTTGTAAATATGCAGTTTAGACCCAGAAGTAGAACCTTGGTTATGTCCTAAGCAAGCTGAGTTTCTCAGTGAAGCTGCAACTTCAGTTGTGTTTTCTTTTTTCTCCAGTGTGATGACTCTGTTTCACCAGTGCCTCATCATCTCTTTGTATTTTCTTTTTTTCTAGTATGGTTTCATCATATTTGGTTCACCATGGGTACTGTTCAACAGCAACTGCCTTTGCCAGAGTCACAGACACCACAATCCAGGAAGAACAGACCTCAATAAAGAATAGACAAAGTAAGTCTCTCAGGTGTCACTCCTCAAGTGTCCTTCCTTTGGGACTCTGCAGAGGAGTGAGTGCTGTGGAAGTTACTCCATGAGAGTCCAGAGCTGTCCAGAGCACGCTGCTGGCCATGGAGTAGAGCTCAGGAACCTCTGCTAGGAGCACTTTTCCCATCATCACTGTGCCCTCTCCACCCTTTTCCGTCTTTGCTTGGAGAATTGCCCTGTTCCTTCCCGCCCCTGTGTGCTCTGCTTGGCCTTTACCTGAGCTAAGATTATTGTGCTCCAGAGATCCCTTTAGATTTGAGCTCTTCACTGCAGGCTATTGCAGCAGGGGCAGTTCCATTGGCCTGGGCACAGGGACTCAGACACATCCATTTAGTTTTGTTGCAGCTCCAGGTTAAGGACTCTTCCAGTCCCTCTGCACATTGTGATTTCGGGTAACTTTTACATGCTGAAGGGTTTTCAAATTCACAGCCAATATATTAAACTCACACTGGGTGAAGAATTTGTATTCTCTGCCTGTTCTGGTTGCTGCTGTTTGCTCCCAAGTGGCTCATCTCTCAGCTGGTAGGGCTGTCAGCGCTTTTGGTCCTGCAGAATAAGGCTTGCAGCTTTCTCCTGCTGTACCTTTTTTTTAAGCTTTTCTATTCACAGGCTCAGCCTGCAGAGTGGCAGAACATTGGTGTGTTTTCTGCATTCTCCTGGCTGCTGAATACAGGCCACATCCCTGTACATTTCCCTTCCCTTTGTGAATTGTTTCTCGTGTGACTGTTACGTATCAGAGCATTGTGCCCCTTTGTGGCTTGCTCTCCATACATTGCATGTGCTTAGCCAGCATTCGGGTTCATTTGGGGACTCTGCTTTTAAATAACTTGCAGTTGCTGCCTGTTAGTGCTGATGGGCTTTGTGCTTTCCAGGTCATGCATTATGCAACCCTGACCCCAGCCAGTGTTCCCAGTGGTGTGGGTTTAACTGGCACAGCCTGACGGGAGGCACGCGAGATGGTGCGGGCTCATTTGTCTGAGGACAGGTGACAAGGCAGATGGAGGGAAGGAATACCGAGCCCTGAAGTTGGGGCTTGAATAAAAGGTGTGAGGAAAACACAGATGGGAAAACAAAAAGAGGGGGAAATATAAAAGGGAGTGACATTTGTGAGAGTTGCCAAACAAGGCAAAGCAGAGCTGTCAAAAGCAGCGAGACGAGAAAATGGACGTGCAAGAGAGTAAAATGAGAGCTCTTGTGTTGGTGTGAGAGCCACGGTTTTGGTTCCATATTTCAACTACAATAACAACCAGATAGACACTGAGAAGTGGGAGACAAGACAAGTCATTGCAGTTTGTTATTGAGATTGTTAATGAAGATTTACCAGACTGGGCTTCCAACTGCTCCAACACCTTGCAAAAGCCACAGGCTGTTGTCATCAGAGGCCCTGCTTGCAAAGCACCTCACGGGCCATTCCAGACCTTCCCTCTACTGTTTATAGGGAGTGCTGGAAAAACAGTGCAGTTTTAGTTTTAAGTACATTTAATTCTTATCTGTAAGTACACTTAGAAAAAAGAAATGTGAGTTGCTGTAGATCAGCAGCTTCTCAGAGCTGTCAAGTATCTCGAGTTGAGTCTTGCACTTGTGTCTTCTGACCTGCTGAAGGAACATACATGGGACATGAACACCCAGCTTGATAAGTGCCTTCTGCCTTGTATCTTTGCACCTCCTAGAAGTGTACAACTTGTTGAGCTGTTTCTAGGGTACTTCTCTGGGAATACATTGAGGTGGACTTGGAGGAACACAGTTTTGTTGATATAATTACATCTGCTTAGTGGTAGGAATATGGTGGGAGCAGTACTGTGCTGTGATTTAAGACCACAGACCCTCTAAGAATACTCCATTTATCTCATTCTGAGCCATACATTTGCTTCCAAGCTTGAACCAGACAGAGAATGTAATATGAGGGTGACCTAGGACTTGCACTCTGAAAATGTTACTTCCCCAGCAGCCTCCTTGTTTCCATCCAGTTGGCGTGTCCTGCTTTCATTTCCATTGCTGCAGAGCTCTGTGACTAAAGGACTAAAGTCTCAGAGCAGCCCAAACTACCTAATTCATCCTTTAGATCCTTCTGCTCTTGATGGTTTTTTGCTACTAACAGATACTCTAACAATTTCACAGGGTTTTTCTAATCCATAATAAACCAAATATGGTCTCCAGTTCTCCCAAGCCCTTGTGCAAGGTGGTGGTGGGGAGCTGGGTGGAATGGGTGAGACAGCTCTTTTGGCTGTTCCTGTGGGCTGGTCCTGTGTGTCACTAGGTCTACTTTTGCTTTCAGGAATACAGAAGCTAGTATTAGCAGGCAGAGTGGGAGAGGCTATAGAAGCCACCCAGCAGCTCTATCCTGGCCTCCTAGAACATAACCCCAACCTGCTCTTCATGTTAAAGTAAGTATGAAAAGCTTTATGCTCCCTAATGCTGAAATGTGCAAATGAAGGAGGGAAAAAGAACCTGTCCAAACATCCAGTCTGGCTGCACACCTTGCTCTGAATTCAAACTGTTTGAGCTCCCTTTGGGAGTCCACTGCACAGTAGATGTAGGCCTTTTGTTGCTGCTCAGACCCAGTATAGCTTTGCCTCATAAGGTCAGGCATAGGTGGGTGAATTTTAGTTCTGCTAACTGCCAGATATTCCTTCAGTGGAGTTTCTTTGCTGGTCTTGTGGAGATCTTGCAGTGCTGGAGCAGTCTCAGTCACTGTGAAGGTTCCTAGAAAGGCAGATGTATGGAAAAGGCTGTCTGGGGTAGAGATTAAAGGAAAAAGTGTCTCAGTTCTCCCAGCTGTACAGAGTGGCTCTCCCCAGACTTGTGAGACATATGAGGACAATTCCCAGTAAAGCTAAATGAGGAGCTGTCCTCACTGTCACTGTGGATATTGCATTTTTTACTCTTCCTTGTCTATTTTCCATTGGCCACCAGTATTTTTAGGTTGACGGAGTCGTGAAGGAATGATAGTATTTGACAGATTTAGTACCTTCTCCCTGAAAAAAACGCTCCACAATTGTATTTTGGAGTACCTGCAGAAGAGCTGGAGGTGAAAGCTGCAAAGGAACAGTTTTTTCTTAGCACAATGGAATTAAACTTGCTTTTTTGGGTATGTCTCAACATCCATTAGCATCAAAATTGAAGTTTCTGAACTCCTTCCTCTGTAGCATCACAATACAAAGGCATCAGGAGTCTGAAATGTCTTTTTGAAAGTTTCTAGGACTTCCCCACTTGGGACCTAAGGCAGGCTCAGTGCAGAGCATGCTGGCTGTCACACACCCTTTTGTCCCTCTTGCCTCCCATGAAATCAGGTGCCGGCAGTTTGTGGAGATGGTGAATGGCACGGACAGTGAAGTGCGGTGTTTCAGTGCCCGCAGCCCCAGATCCCAGGACAGCTACCCCGGCTCCCCCAGCTTAAGTCCTAGACATGGATCAAGCAACTCACACGTTCACAGTACTGGTAAGTGTCCTGTGTCTCCAGATGAGGAGAGCAGATGGCAAGGGTGGATGTGGTGGTGCCTAGCATTACCTGCTGCTTTCTATGTGTTATTCTCTGAAATGTTCCTTCCCTTTCCTTCCTCAGCTGAGGGGATGTTCTTTTACCACGGGTGTCTCTACACTGTCACAGAATTGGTTTTGCATCAGTTATTTTCAACGATTGTCTGCAGAGCAAGTTTATTTCAGAATAAATATGCTTTTGAAGGCAGGCTTCTACTGCAGCTACCTGTGACTCAGTGTTTCACTGATGGAGTGCCGAGAGGAGGTCTGGAAAGCAAAGCCTGTTTTCTGTACCTTGGAATCTGCAAAATAATTGCTTTCCAGAAAGAACTGAATAGAAGCTGCTTTTCCAGTGGAGCAAAAGGTCAGGGGGATGCATTGCACAAAAGTTTCTCCCTACCCCATGGACTTAACCTTGCAGGCTCTAAGCATTTGAAACGAGAACAGTTCTGTTCCAGTAAAACCCAGCTCTGGAGCATCAGCTCTTCAGAGTTCGGGAAGTTAAACTTTAGAATTTGAAGTGGAAAGAACAAGATAAATGAGGACACCTAAGATATCTTCCTTAGGTAATTACTGACTGCAACTTTGGAGATGGAGTGAGCCAGGAAAAATGACCTGCAGGGCCCTTGGAAACAGGCTGAGCTGCTTCACTGAACTGTGAGCTGCTCACAGCCATCTGAGTGTGTTTGGGGTTGGTATTCCCACTGCAGCATGTGACAAACTGAGTACAGGCAAATATTTAAGGAAAAGGAAAACAATTTCTTGGATACCTCCAAGCTGTCACTCACCTTTCCAAGCCACTGTCTTTGTTTTCCTGTGTTGTGCTGTGAGAAGCCCTGGGTGTGTTCCTTTGACTAGAAAGTCAGAATGATCCCATCAGTCCATAAAAGCTCTTGGTAATACCCATGTCTACATCTGCAACTGCAGTGCAAGGCAGTATTTATACATATTTGTCTTTACACATGGACATCATCTTCCACAGTTCTCTGTCAGACCTTTTTCTTTCAAAAGAGTGGTAATTTCATCAGGGCATGTTTCAGAGATGAAGCAGAAGTTTTGTGAACAGGCTAGTCTGTCTTTGTCATTAAAATGCTCAAAACAGCCCATTTGAATTTTTGTGTTACTGTGATAGAAAATAGAAATACATTCCCTGCTATAAATGTAATTGTGGGGTCAGCTGATGAATGTGTATATATCACCATTACTTCTGGAGAGCAGCCATGCCAGGTCACATCATTTAGTGATGTGATCATTTAGTCCTGTGATCAATACTGCTTGTCTGAAGAAGAATACATGAAGAAGACAAGCACTTAGTGAGGTTTTTCCAAAATATTTTAGCCCCTGTCAGTTCTGAATCCATATAAAACTTGTGGTGATGAATAAACGTTTGTGTCTTGTGTCAGTGTGTTCTGCAGCTTGATAAGCACCTTTTGTGGAGGAGCAGGTGAAATTTCAAGGCTGACTCTCAGTGGTTTCTGTTCTCCTGAGCAAGGAAGGTTAGCTTGTGCTCATTAAGAGTGTTGCTATTATGTGCTGAGTGTTGTGTGAATCACATACATCCCTAACTTTAGATAGATCATGGAAAGCCAGGGCAGTTCTCCTTTCAGCAATAATTTCTGTACTTGTGAACTGTTTCTGCCAATCTCTAATTTACAGCTCGTTTTTAGAACTTCACAAAGCTCAGATGTTGCTGTGAGCTGGGGTTCCTTTCATACTCGTTTGCATCTTCTCTAAAACCCCATTGAATTTAAGAATGATGAACCATAATTTAAGATCTGCAGTCTTATTTTGCTTTCTTCCTTTGGGGCTTGCTGTCTTGCTAAATTGTTGGCTTCACAACAGAGGGACATTGTCAGTCTTGTCTCATTTTATTTTCTTCTTGGCTTTCAGGAGCAGATAGTCCAACCTGTAGCAATGGAGTCATGTCCACAAAAAGCAAACAGAGTCACAGTAAATATCCAACACTGAGTTCATCATCTTCATCTTCTTCCTCCTCTTCCCCTTCATCTGTGAACTACTCTGAGTCCAATTCTACAGATTCTACCAAATCTCAGCAGCACAGTAGTACGAGTAATCAAGAAACCAGGTACTGTTTTTTCTCTGGAGACATCTGAGGGGGGTGGGATGGTGGGAAAAGTCTCAGTCTGCTTTCCAAGGATCCAGAAGGGCATCTGTCCTGCTCTTTTGAGCAATACTGATTATCTACAAGGTCACTACTATCCCAGCAGACCCAAACCTGTTCTGGCTCCCCTGCTGTGGCTCAGGCTTGGAGATTCATCTCATAAGGAATATTATGATGGTCTTGTTTTCAGGCACCAAGCTGTCCCATTACACTGATGCCTTTGGATCCCAGTGTGATAGTTTGCCCAGAAGCTTTCCCAGTCAGCCTGGTGGTGTTTCTGCTGCCTCAGCCAGGCACTTGTTCCTGCTGAGCAGCTTTCCTGCCCTATACTGGGTGAGGCAGCAGCTCAGGCCACAATGGCGTGGTGCACTGCCCTCTTGAGTAATTTCCTTGGGCTACCTGTTGCCCTGTTCCTTCCAGGTGAGCCTCTGAGCCAGCAGTAATTTGTTTCATGCTGTGACAGCAGGTCAGACTTGAGCCTCCCTTCTCCAAGAAGCCACAGGTGATCCAGCAGTTCAGTGAAGTCACTGCTGCCTGTTCTGGAGTGTGGAGCAGAATGAACTGTGGTGAAAACTGAGCTTCCTTTGGGCTCACTCTCCACACTGTCTGAGGCCTGAGTGGAGAGTGTCGTGATTAAAAGAATCTCTTGCTAATTGCAGCTGGCGCTCATTCTTCAAGTGCTGTGCTGAGCATGGCTTGCAGTTTGTAGGCTCAGTTGTGACCTCTGGAGAGCCACCTAGCATGTAACTGAGTGAGAAACACTTGTTCAAACTCAATTTACCAGAATCATTTAATGATGCTGGATTTGTCTTTTTTTTTTTTTTTTTTTTTAATGTAGAGCCCAAGTTCCAGTAAGATCTTCTCATAATTTCAGTTAATCAGTAGTTAATCAGCAGTCTCAGTCAGCCTGCTGTCTTGGACATTTAAGTGTTCAGTAGTGCACTGTTTGTAAGGACTGGGGATGTATCATAGCCAAGATTTCCCTCCTGTGCAGTCTTTGAGTGTGTTATCTGTTACCTGGCTGCTGTTTACTGTCCCAACGATCACCACTTCCTGAAGGGAAAATGCAAAATGTTCTGCACCTGGAATTATGACAGGCACTTAGGGAACAGAAACCTTGTTTCATAAGTTGTCTTCAGAAGCCTGCAACAATTTTTGCAGCACTGACTTGGACTATCTGGCTCCCTGTAGTCCAACTGGCACCTTTCCTGGTGTGCTGGCCATTGCTGGGCACTGTTTGGGACATAAGCTCTTCATTTCTTCCCTTTTTAATTTAGACCTTTCTTCCCTTCTTTCACCTCAGTGACAGTGAGATGGAAATGGAGGCTGAGCACTACCCCAACGGAGTCCTGGAAAATTCATCCACCAGGATAATGAATGGCACCTACAAACACGAAGAGATCCTGCAGACAGATGAGTCCAGCATGGGTAGGTCCTCAGAGGCAGGAGGGATAAAGGGGAAAAAGGAGCTGGTATCAAAAGTTAAAAGTGTGATTGGATTGTGGGGAAAAAGCATGTACTTTGGGCTCCTTTCCCCACCCAGTGAATGAAGTGCCTGCTTCATGGGGAAAAATAATCTGTCCTGGAATTAAAACTTGGTCTGGCTTTTCATAGACTCACAGCAGTGCTGGTGAAATTTTGGAGCAGGGAAAGCAACAGGTGTCAAAGGTTTGTTCTGTTCTGGTCATGAAATTGAGCTCAGAGCAGACCTGGCAGAAATGCCTGCTGGGGAGCTGAGCTGGGCTGTGCCAGGCTGGTGATGTCCAGCTGCAGAGTGGCCTCAGCACAGCTGTCAGCCATGGCTGTCTTGTTTGTGGGTGCTTTAGCCAGGAGGGAGCAGATGAATCAGCTACACTACCTCTGAAACTGATTCATCCAGTTATAAGGGCTCTTGTGGCCACTAATACTGGGAAGCTGGTGGTGTTGACATCTCTGACTGAAAGTTTTCTGAGTCCAGGATTTGTTAGACCAGGGGTTTCTGGGTTATATATGATGTGCTACACACATGAAAGGGTAACAGATGGGAGTTTCAAGCTCCCAGGATTTTATCAGGAGACTTGATTTCTAGGTAGTTCTCAGGCATTAAACAAAGCTCAAATCTTCCCTATATCTACCAGGCTCTATGACAAAACCCACTACTGTCTGTTGTAGGGCAGGGATCACAGAAAGCTTCCACTGGGATAAACTTGGGCAGGAAGCAGCTACCTGCTCCAGAAGGGGTAGGAGTTTGTGGGTATCCTGACACACAGTGGGCATTGGTGGGGAATGCACGATGATTGTTCCTTCTCGACTGCTTCTCCTTAGAAGACAGCTGCCCCCAGAGGCAGCTCTGTGGAGGGAACCACGCTGCCACAGAGAGAATGATCCAGTTTGGGCGGGAGCTGCAGATCCTGAGCGAGCAGCTTTGCAGAGAGTATGGGAAGAACACCATGCACAAAAAGATGCTTCAGGTAAGCCTAGGCCTTGTGCTGGATTGCAGCAGTTCTCTGTGCCAGGTCTGGGGTTGTGGGTTCCCTTGCAGACACATGGGTAGGCCCCACTTCTGCACCTGCTGAGCAAGAACAGACCTACATGGGGATCAGAGATCAAAACATGAATGCAGAGCATCTACACCCAATTCTCAGCACGTGAGAGAAGAAATACAGATCCTGCCTGGCTTCCTGGAGCAGCTGCATGCTCTTCTTCTCTGCAGGTGACACTACCTGCCTTCCTGTGCTGGCTCCCCTACCAGGTGGAGGGGCACCCTCTTTAATCCACTGTCTTGATGGCCCACCGTGGTCCCTTGCGGCCAAGAAGAAAAGGGCCATTTCTTTTCAGGAGGTAGGCACCTGTCACCATGGTGATTGCAGGAGGTGCCCCAGCTGGACTTGGTGGTTTTCCTGTGTGTTTGCAGCCCTGCCTGATCTCACTGTGCCTTTCTGCTCTGTCACAGGACGCCTTTAGCTTGTTAGCTTACTCAGACCCTTGGAACTGCCCCGTCGGCCAACAGCTGGACCCGATCCAGAGGGAACCTGTGTGTGCTGCTCTCAATAGTGCTATTTTGGGTAAGATCTGGTTCCTGTGGGAGTGTTTCCCCAGACATACCTCCTCTCAAGGGCTGTCCTGTGGCAGGCAAGTCTGGGAGTGTTAGGGAAAGTTCAGAAATACTTGTGTTTAGCTTTGGCCTTTCTGTTGCTGGGGACTGTCAGGGCAGTAATGCAGGAAGGGGAGTAGGAGGGAAGCCTGCAGAGAACAGATTCCCTGATACACTCTCCTTTTGACTCCCTTCCTTGCATCTTCCTTAATGCTGCTCCCGAGGATGTGCCTCGGGATTTTCCTCCCCTGCTTACTGAAGAAACAGATCTCTTTGATGAATTTCCCACCCCTCTCCCTTCATGACTCTGAACCCAGCTGAATAACTTTGTGGACTTCACCAGGGCTCTTTTCCAGCTGTATGGATTAGCAGAGTTCAGCCTTGGTATCATCCTATTTTCTGGGAGGGAGTACAGGTGCATCCTCTGTATAGTCTGGCTCACTGTGCCCAGGCAGATTTCCTTTGGCATCTGTGCACCTCACACTGAATGTTCCAGAAGCAGATTTAGAGATTATCTTCTGGGGAAAGGAACAACTTGATGGACATGCCCATGAGGAATCCTGTTCTGAGTCAAAAATCAGAAATTGCATGTTTTGGGAAGGAGAGTCCCTTCCCCTGACAGTCATTGCTTGAGGAGCACAGACAAGTTGCTGAGGGCTCCACACCAGGGAGATGTGGTGTCTGGACATGCTTCATCACAAGGTTACCAGACACCTTGTCTAGCTCAGCTGAGGGTTCCCTCAGAAAACATGCCACTGTAGGACATGGTGATGAGGGAGTGAGTTCATTCAGGGCTTGGGCTGCTGTGCAGCCTTGCACAAGCGGGAGAAATGGAGAGGTTGCCTTCCACCTGGGACCAGATTCTTCTGCCTTTCCTTTTTCCTCCATGCTTTGATATCTCATGTTTTAAGGGTTTTCTGGCAAACAGCATCAGCAGGAGCTTTGTTGCTCTGGCCACCACAGCAGCACTCTCTCAAAGGCCCTGCTGAGCTGTGGGATGTGCCATGGGTGGTGGCACAGAGCTGGCAGTATTTGGGAGCAGCTTCCTTCCAGAGCCAGCACCTTCTGTCAGGGATCCAGGCTTGGTGCCCAGCTGGGACGGAGAGAGGCCTGAGTGGCAGGTGAGGCAGCACCAGCCAGAACACCCCTCCTAAACCGCTCTGTTTCTTTGCCCCCACAGAATCTCAGAACCTGCCAAAGCAGCCCCCGCTGATGCTCGCCCTGGGCCAGGCCTCGGAGTGTTTGCGGCTCATGGCTCGCGTGGGCCTGGGCTCCTGCTCCTTTGCCAGAGTAGACGATTATTTGCACTGACACCCGAGCGGGACGGAGCTGCCGTCGTGGAGTGCTGCCCTTCACCCTCTGTTGCTGCCACTCTGCACCACCACCTCGTTGGATAGCCTGACCTCCCTGCCACCGACACCCCTCTAGCACGCACACACTGCCTGTGCAAGGATTGAGTCCCTCACTGTGTGGCCATTCCTGACCCCGGGAAGACTGGCAGCTCTGCCCCGTCTCCCCGCCACTGCTGCGGCTCCAGCGGCACTCGGTATTTCGCTGGTTATTCTAATGTAGCGCCTTCTGATGTAGGGATTTTTCTCTTTTGTTTTGATTTGAGTTGTTTCTCATGGTTCCACCAATATTTTATCTGGAGAGTTTTGCTGAGCTGGTTTATGCTGATTTACTGAGGAAGCTCATCAAGTTGGTGACAGCTTGTTCTTTTCTTCCCTTCTCCCTCCATCGTGCACATACAGCATCATCCGTGCTAGTAATCCGAACTCTTCTCACAGTGGCAGTTCAGAGGGATTTTTTTTTTTTTATTATTTTATTTGAATCATGTTTATTAAAAAGGTCTCTTCCACCTCCACAAAGTCACTGATGTATTTATTACCCACAGACTCGGTCCACACACACCATACGACCCCTCAGGGTGAGGTAGATCCTGTCACTCTAATGATGGGAATTGCAGGAGTCTGGTCCTTCGTGGTGCCTCTCTTTGGAGCCCAAAGCTCTCAATCTTGGCTTTGTGAGTGGGAAGAGTAGAAGATTGACATTGCCCACGTTGATGATTGTGCTGTAGAAGCATCTCATGGCCCTGACAAAGAGTTAAATTCAGCTCTGAACAGCTGGAGGGACAGGACTGATGAATATGAAGTCATCTGCCACTGTATGGGTAGAATCAGGTCATGTGAGTTGGCCAGAAATATCTGTGGGTGATGCCCTGGTGGGCTGACAATTTTGAATTAAGTAGCAAATCCCCCTTTTTCTCCATGGAGGAGGGCTCTGCCACTAACACAGTAATAACAGTATTTCCTGCCCTTTCCCATCCCTGTAACACTGATCTAAATGAGCACTTCTAAATTTTGGAAGTGTCTGTAGCAACCTGGGCTGAGCCGTGCTTGTGCTTGCAGGTGGGAAAGCTGAGCTCAGGTTGCTGCAGATCGGGCTCAGTACCAGCTCTGTTGGGCCTGAGCCATTCAGAAAGGAGCAGCAGGGTTTCTTTAGGGATTATTAAGATAATTATCAAAATTTCAGGCCCAAAAGAGACCAGCATGGGTCTGTGGGTGAGTAACCTCTGAGTAAGATGGACTAATGTGTCCATGCTGTGTGCCAGGCCCAGGGACTTGAGTGCTACCAAGCATTCAGACCACCTGTGAGTGTTTCTGAGCATGTTCTGTTACCTGGCCAGGCTGCCTGGCAGCACCATGTGCTTTGCATTCTCTGCTGTACCATTAGGAGATGGCAGGTTCAGCCTGGCTGAACAGGAGGAGTTGGAATTCTGCACCAAATTCATTTTAGGTCAGTTGCTCTGGGGAGGACCCAAGGGAGCTCAAACCAAACATAAATGTTACCATTCACAATTTTTTATTTTTTTTTTTTGAAGGTCCGTGAAAGATGAACAGGTTTTGTTGAGGTTGCTTCAAGCACCAAGAGAGTTTGTGTGCCACTGAGAAGGAAAGTAGCAGCAGCCCAAAGCTTTAAGGATTTTCTGGTTTTGCAGGACGGATTTGCAGCTGGCACATGAGCTCTGAAATCAAGGCAGAGCAGAGGGGCAGGTGCCTAGGCAGGCTATGGCAGTGAATGTGCAGATGGTGTTGGAGATGGTTGGGAACATTATCCCTTCCTTGGATGAAGGTGTGCAGTGTGTAGGGGCAGTGCTAGAGCCATGGTGGTCTAAGAAAACAGGAGGTTTAGAGCTGGAGGAGATACTTCTGTCAGATCACAGGTACAGCTGCAAAAAGCAGAGGGAGCTCTACCACAGCCATTCTTCTAGGGAGACAGAGAGCTGTCCCAAGAAGAATTTAACTTGCCAGTCTGGGTCTTCTCTTCCAGCTCTGGGGAACAGCACATGTGCCTGAAAGCTCATCTGTTGCTTTTCAACTCTGCTGATGGATCTTAGCCCAGCCTGCTGTCCTTGCCCTGCTGCAAGTGCAGAGATATCTCAGTGGGCAGGTTTCCTTCCCAAAGCCTCTGGTCCCAGCGGTGCCAAGGCAGCATGTGAGCTCTGCCTGGTAGGATTCTACTGCAGGCTTTCCATTCCTTAGACCCAGGCTGGCAGCACATTGCTGGGCTGATTCTGGGTACTGAGGTTGAAATACTCCAGGACCTTGCTTTGCCTTCCCCTCTTGGCAGCTTCCTCTGCTGTCAGTCACCACTTTGCAGCAGTCTGGCTGCAGTCAGACCTCTCTCATCTTTGTAGCAACACCATATTTATCTCTTTCTGAGGTTTTTTTGGTTCCTTCTCTTTGTGGTTTCTTTAAACAAGTCTCTTCATCATGTGTCATATTAGTGCCCCATTTGGTCTTTCAGCAAAGCTTTGCTGACTGTCCTAGAGCGCCTTTTTTATTTTGGTTTTGCTACCAAAAAAAAACACTAAAAAAATCAGCCAAGAGATGTTCCTAGATATCTGGTATTTTTGGTGCCAAAAAATGTGTGATGGATGTTATTTGGGTTTTTTTAATTTACTTCAAGTGTTCTGGTGGTTTCACCAGTGGTTTCTGCTTCTTGTACTCAGATTCTGATTAATGTGGCCATGACTCAGTCTGGGGAAGATAAGCATGTTTGTGGTGTGTGGTGGCATGTAGGCCCCAACCTACCCTTGATTCCTAGATGGGATTTCTGATATGGTTTTCTCAGGTTGTATTTCAAAGCCTCTTGCCTTTGAATCTCCCTGGCTGCTCTTTGATGGTTCATGTTAGCTGAAACTTGGATTATTGAAGTGCTTTTTAAAAGCACAGCTAAAGTGAAATGGGGTCTATAACACTGAATGTGGTCTAGAGAGCAGCAAACACTCCAGCTCTGTGCTCTGGACACCCCACCCATCTTCCTGACACTTGGCACTGCAGCAAAGGCCTTGCAGAAGGAAAACATTTCACAGGGACCTGGTGGAACCTGATTTCAGGCCTACACATCCTGGGCTTTGGGTTTGAGTCCAATGCCCTGCCTGTTAAGTGTCCTTTTGAGAGGAGCATTTTGGGAACTTCAGACCTGGAGCCTTGGTTAAAGTGTCCTTCAGGAGTTCTGTGGAAAGAGCTTCATGAAGTTGAATTACATCACCAGGGTTCTCTCCCCATGAACAAGAGTTCATGCTGCCCCCACAAGCTGAGAGTGAGAGCATCAAGAATACATTGGGAGAACTTCGGAGTGAGATGCACTGGAGTAGCTGGGATAAGTGTTTCTTGAAGGAGTATCCACCTCATACACCTGGTGCTCCAGTCTGTGAACATTGTAGTGGCTCTGCTGGGTGCATTCCAGTTTGTGGATATCTCTCCTGTACCAGGGGAGCCAAATCTTCTTGTTCCTCTTGGAATCATCTTGTTCCAGATGATTTCTCTTGCTGCTCCATGAGCCTACCTTAGCAAGTATTTAACCAAAGCTATTTTAAGGCTTAGAGGGTTGAGAGAGCTCTCAGTCAAGCTCTCCTGTGAGCAAGGAGGGCAGCAGTCTATTTCCTCTGCATCCTTCAGTGTGCTCCCAGAGCCAGCTGGTTTGGGGAAAATTTCTTACTGCTACCAGCAATCCTTTCTTGTTTCTCTGCCTCCCACAATCTCAGTGTCCTCCCAACTGCATGACCACAGTGGTATCTGCAGTGCTGGGTGCTGTGGGAGCTGCTCCAAGACCAGGGCCAGCTGTGTGGTTCATGTCTGTGCCAAGCACAGATGTGGCAACTCCAGCTGCCCTTCCTGGCTTCTTCTTCCCTGCTGGCACAAAGGGGCAGGTCCGTCCCCAGGGTCACAGTCCCTTTTTGCCACCATACACTGTCCCATCAGCCTGCAGCTGGGCTGGCAGCACTTCTGCCATTCTTCTGGGGTCTGTTTGGAGCTGAGCCCTTGTGTGTGGCCAGCAGAACAGAGAGGGACTCCCAGTGAAGCACTGGACAATATGCAGCATCCAGCCCTTTAGGGAAGGTTGTCCAGTGGATGCTCTCCCTCAGCCCCATGTGAACCAAAGCTGGAGCTTGTTGCCTTGGGATGTGTGAAAGGTGTGTGTGGTGAAAGATGGGTGCTACAGCCTCTTTCTATTTCCAGCCTCCTGATGGTCCTCACTGTGCTGCTGCCCACTGGATCTGGACACCAGGAGGTGCAGCTGTGGCTGCCATGGAGAATGGGCCCCTCTGGGAGCATCATTCTTCACGGTTACCTGCGCCTAAGATCTTCCCATATTCTTCCTTCTCTTTTTTCACAGTCACATCTCAGTCTGTCCTCAAGCTGTGTCCTTGTTTTTCACATTTTATTAAGGCATCTTTACAATTCTTTAAATAACTTTGTTCTTGAGGCTGCCTTGGAAAACTGGAGCAACCAGAGCTGCTGGAACTAGTTCTGGGGATTGAATGTATCGTTTTCCACCTTTGGTATCGGGGATGATGAACCATCTCCTCCTTCAGCATTGAAGCTGTGCTTTGGTACCTGTCTGTGTTAATACGTAGCACGTGTTGCTTAGACACATATTTCAGAGTTCTGCTGTCCTGGGGTTGATAGAGGAGGTGACCTGTGGCAGCCAGGCTGTAGAGCAGTGTGTAGGTGCCATGAAGCTGTGTGGTGCACCACATGGGATCAGCAAGTTCTTCCCATAAAGCAGTGCAGACTTGAACTGTCCTGTGGCAGCAGGTGTCCCTCACGCTCCAGTCCTGGGTGCAGTGAGGCCTCGTCACACCTGGGAAAAGGAGCAATGTCCACCCAGGAGTCCCCTTTTCAGAAGGAGCATCTTCCTTCCAGCCCTGCCATTGCGAGAGCAGCCTCAGTGGTGGGTCAGGGAGAGAGCAGATCTCTTGTAGAGAGCGAGCGCTGGGTCTCCAGCTGTACCAAGCTGTTTCTGTGGAAGGACTTGGTGGGGACGTGGCAGGGGACATGCTGGGTCCTTCTGTCCCAGAGGGACAAGTGATGGAGGGAACTGCAATCCAGCAGTTGGTCAGAGCCAGAGCTGGCTGTGACCCTTGTCCCATCTTCTGTGTAGGGGCAGAGAGCTGGAGGAAGTGTTGCTGGGGCTGTGTGAGGGGAGCAGACTGGGAGGAAAAGGGAGGAGTTGAGAGCCTGGAGGCCTCTTCTGTAGACAACACTAGCTGCTCTCCGCCATCCTTCCCTGCAACAAGAGGTGGGAGGTGATGGATGAGTGAACCTGGCATGTCAGTCCCTCTCACCACATCCCAAACCAGAGCTCAGAGCCTGCAGCTTGAGCTGGAGCAGTGCCTGGCAAGCCAGGGGATCATCCAGGCTTGAGGAGCACACATCCTGCCAGCTCTTTCATTTCCAGGAGGGAAGCTTAACTCTCTCCTGCTTGCAGGAAAGCCACAAGTCCCATGTTGAAATTACACTCACATCACCACTGAAACATTCCTGGAGGCCATGCAAACCTCTGCTCCTTGCTGAAAGTCCCATGGCCAGGCAGACACCTTTTCTCTGGTCACTCCACTCGGGTCCAGGCGTGTGCTTGGACACTTTTGCTCGGGAGGACTTTAGCTGCATCCTTCCTCCTGAAGGGAGCACAGAGGGATTTTTGTATGCTGGGCTTCTCACAGGCTTAGACTCAGAGAAAGGAGAAGCAGCAGCAGCTCTGGGGATAATCCAGATTTTAAAGAAAATTTGAAAACCACAAGTATGGTGACTTCCAGACCAAGGACTGCACCGGCGCTGGATTGGGATTGTGTCTCTGTCCCTCCTGTGCAGCCAGGGAGGCGGGAGGAGGCTGCGGCCCCCGGAGCTCTTGCACGCAGCAGTGCAAGCCCCAGGACCTGCCCAGCACGCAGTGAACTCTTCTCTCCTGCTGGTTGCTCAAAACTCAGGTATGAAATGCTCAGCTGGAGCATGGGGTGTGAGGTCTCCGCAGGTTTCCCGGCAGCCCTGGAGGAACAGGCGCCACTGAGCACAGCTCCCTGTGCCACTCCAGGCTTCTCATCGCCTTTGGAAGGGAGTTTCACCTCTTTGGTACAACATTGGCTACGTGGACATTACACAAACTGTGCACATTGGTTCAGTCTACGCTTAGTATTTGTGAATTAAGTTATCTGATGCTTCGCATGAAAACTTAAAAAAAAGGGGCTTGGGGGGGTGGATTTTAACTGAGAAAAAGCCTATGAAAATATACTGGAAATATGGTAAAGAAATTGACATTCTGCTGTATATTGACAGAATTATTTTTATTAAAATACACATCCATGTGCAAGAGCCAGTGTGGAGCTGTGTGCTTTGTCAGTCTCTGCTCACCAGGGAAAGCTGCTCATGTCCTCTCTGACAGTCCTTGAGGTGTTTGTCTCCCAACATCTAATTCTGCTTCAGCTTCCTTTTCCACCATTGCTTCCTCCCATGGTGCTTACAGTTCAGAGGCAAAAATGTCATTAGGGATGTTTTTCCTGTGCTGTTCAGTGTCCTAGAAAATACAGCCCTGAAGTGTTTTCTAGCCATGAGTATAAAACACGGATTAAGCTTTAGGCTGAGGATCATTTGCCACATTCCTTGCTTTCACCTTTCTGAGGTTTTTCCCTTGTATGTTTGCGCCTCTCCCGTGAGATGGGCCAGCAGCTTGGTTTTAGTGTCTGGGATCCCACACTGCTCCCACCCCTCCCTGGCCCTGCAGAGGGGCAGGCAGCCAGGACACCTCTGAAGGGGTTGTGTCCTCACCCTCCTGGCACTGTGGACCTTGTTTCTTACTCCCTCAGATACTTCACAGTGGCCACCAGCACATTTGGAAGCTCTCAAGGTATTAATGGTTTGGTTGATCAGTATCTTCTCCCAGAACCCTCCCCTTAATTCTGGAGCACCTGCAAAGCCCCTGGGGCTGCGAGGATGCTCTGAGGATGTACAGCTTTGCCTAGGGGTGAGGGTAACCTCACCCACGGGTCCTGGACCTGTGGGTCAAGGCCTGGCTCCACTGTCACATTCCCAGTCAAGCAGGGACAGTTTGCTCCTGGAGAAATACAAGCTTGTGGCACAGGCTTTCTTCGCTTGCAGCATGCCCTGGGTTTGTTAGGATCTGCTGCTTGGTCTGGAGAATCAGGAGAAATTCAAACAGCAACTTGTGGGAACGAGGCTTTATTATAAATATTTGCTCCACAGGCACATCTTGCAGGGCAGTGACAGCAGGAGGAGCTCGCTGACTGATCCATGGCACTGTGACACCTGATCCTGCCAGGGTACAGGACGGCTCCTCCCGCAGTGCCCACGGCCACAGCACCCGTTGGAGAAGAGCTGCCAGCACCGTTGGCTCCCTCGAGATACAGGAACACTGGAGGGGCGAATCAGATGGTGGATGGATTTTATTTTTTCCTTTGAAGCCGTTTTATGATTTTATCCACCCAGTCCCTCTTGGGGTCGGCACAAATCTCATCACCATTGGCAGCCACAATCCTGCAATGAGAAAGTGAGGAAAAGGAGTGAAAACATGAACCATGAGCCATTTCCTTCCTGTGTGCTATTTCTTCGCTCCCTTTTTGCAGCCCCATCCTGGATCGAGGCTTGGAGCCATCTCCAGCAGCCTGTGCCCTCCATGGGCTGATGGTGAGTGTCTGAGTCTTCCCAGACCATTAGCATTAGCAGAAAGCACTAAACCTCATTTTTTCCCTTTTTTGCCCACTCCCCAGAGCTGCTGGGACCGAGCTGCCTGTGGGGCAGGATGGGATGAGGGAGCAAAAGATCTGGGATCCCAGATGTGGGATGGAAAGCAAACCCTGGGATACTCACACAACTGCAGGCTTGGGGCAGTCTTTGGATGTCTCGTAGAAGCTTTGAGGGTGTCGGATGCGTTTCTGTGCATATTTAAAGCAGCATTCCACAGGTGCAAAGTGGGCTGTGGAGGGAAGGGGAGATGTTGAGAAGGGGAGATGTTGTGAATGGCACCACCAGATTGGGAACACAGCATGGAGGCTGTGGAGTGTCTCAGCAGCTCCCATAGCATCCTATGAAAGGGGTTTGTCACCCTTCACACAGCAGGCACAGGACTGGGATGTGGACAGAGGTGGAGCAGGGGACGGCCTGGGACCTGGCACTTCACAGCCCCAATTGCAGCAGCCCCCAGAGCACACGGTAAGGTCCGGGTGCTCAGTCTGGGGATGAAGTTTAGGGGCTTTCTGAAGCAGAGGCACAAGTTGCAAGGGTGTTTTGGGAGGCTCCAAAGAGCTGCATGTTCTCCCTCCCTCCAACCCCTTGCACATCCAGCTGAGACCTGGGGAACAATTTCCAGAGCCTCCTCCAAGTTCCTGCAGCCTATCCCCAGGTCTGGTTTTGCTGAGACCACCCAGCACCTTCTCCATCCATCCCTGCATCCTGGGATGTGCTGCCCTGCCCTGCCCAGGGGGTTGCTCCTCCTGTCAGCAGCACCATTCCCCGCTGGTGTTTCCTGCCTGACCTCCCCAATGGGATGTACCCAGTGGGGGCTCAGAGCCCTGAGCTGCAGCTGTGGCCCCTGAGGTTCCTTACCTGTGGTGTGGTGCAGGGTGAGGAGCAGGCTGAACAGCAGGACAGTCCTTGCAGGGAGCATGGTGGCTGTGTGGTGGCTCTTGTCCTCTGTGCTGCCCTGCCTGGTGGCTGTGGCTCTCTCCACGCCGTCATTTATCCTCTGCCTTCCACCTACGTAAGCTGCATTTCCAAAAATTTTGGACGTGTACTAGGAAACCAGGGTCAAGGGGGTTTCTGTCATTTATTTTTGAAATGCATCCAGCGATGAAGAAGTTCAAGGAGCGGTTCTGCATTCTGTGGAGGAGCCGTGACTTGGCAAGGGAGCTTCCAGGAACTGAAAGCAGATTAGAACTGTCTTCCTGTGCAGGCAGAACATGAAGTCTAATGCTCATCTGTTTCTAACAGGAGAGACAGCCCACACTCCCTGAGCAGGGACAGCGCTTGCGTGGGTTTCATTGGTTTGCCCAGTGTCAAAGGCCAGCGAGGGAGCCCCATCCAAACTGACCTGCCCAGGCACCTTGGCCACACAGAGAGCACTGGGTTAGGCAGGAAAGCACAATGGGATGGGTTGGGATGGGATGGGATGGGATGGGATGGGATGGGATGGGATGTCAGGCAGAAGAAGCCACACTGGACCCATTCAGAAGGGACCCCAGAGCAGGAGGTTTCAGGGATGCTTTTGATGGGTTCAACAGACAGAACAGAAGGGGAAGAAATGGGGCAGGGGCAGTGGGGTGTGTGAGCAGAGTCTGGATCTGAACATGAGTCAGGCCATGTGTTGCCTCTGCCTCCCACACCAGCACTGGGATTGAAACGGGAGTCAGGGGGATGGAGGCTTGTGGCTATCAGTGCACAGACAGGCCATTCCTGCAGGGAGATGGGACAGATCCTACCACAGCCCCAGGAGAGTCCTGCCAGGGAGGAGGGGCAGGTGGCACAGATCCCAGACAGCACCACGGAGCACTGCTGGGCATCAGCCCAGCTTCCATGCAGGGATCTGCTCTCTGGGAGGGCAGAGGCTGTTGTGTGTAAGGAAAAGTGAGGTCCTGGTGGGACCACATACAGTGATGCTGAGTGGGAGCACAGGAGGGAATCTGGCTGTGGCTAGGGGGGTGAGGTAATCCAAGGCTTCTCAGAGGGGAAGAAAAGTGAAAATGGGATTCTTTGAAGATTATCTCATGTCTGCACGACTTCTCTGAAGGGAGAAAGGAGAAGGAAACAGACCAAATGTGCAGAAAATGCTGGTTTAGAGGAAATGGTCTGCAGGACATGGGGTCTGCTGGCCTTGCATGGGGCAGGGTGGCCTCGCAGAGAGCTGGGCACAGCCCCACTGGGTTCTAGTGCCACTGTCCCCAGGCAGGGCTCTGCAGGGAGAAAATGCCTGACACACAGCAGCCCGAGTCCTCTTCTGTGGACTTTGCATCACCCCCAGGTTCTCCTGCCCTCCCTGTAAATGTCCCCAGGGCACAGATCCTTGGGGCCAGCAGCCAGCAGGGTCACACCAGCTCCTAGACAGGGGTTAAAAGCACAGGGAGAACTGAGCTAATGACTTTTTCCAACCAGCATCTCCCGGTGCAGAAAACCTTATGTGCCAACCCTGAGCTTCCTTTTCAGGCTTGTCTGAGGCACACAGTTTCTCCTCCTTTCCCATAGCTATTTATTCCACTCTCCAGAAGCATTAGTGGATGCCTCCACCATCTGTTCTTCATAGAGAAAATCAAATATGTTGGATGTTTGAAGGCCTGGAAAGGCCCCACGAGGCTCTGGAGGACTGGGATTCCCTCTGTGTCCCTGCCCCAGTGGCTGATCTCTGGCTTTTGCTTTAGTCTTCTCCAGCCTCCTCTGCAGTGCCTGAGGTGTTCCCAGCACCCTCCCAGGCCATCCCCATCAGTGGCACAGCCTCTTCCCCAGGTGTGGAGCCCCTGGTTAGGCAAATGCAAAGGCAGGTGGAGAGAAGAGAGGGTACAGACTCTGCAGAGGATTTTTTGGGTGTCCAAACCACCTGTAGCCTCACTATAATTAATCATTTAATACAAATTTTTTGACTGAGGAAAACCCCTACTTTAGAAATTAAAATGGATAGGCATGGACAATAATAGAGGTGGGAAATATTCACTGACTCATAAAATGTTTTGGGTTTTGAGTGGATAATCACAAAAGTTAATACTTTAAGAGAGAACATGAACTGTTTGCCCATGATAATGTTGGTGTTGGGCTGGACCTGCCCTGCCCAGAGCCTAGTGCTGCACCCGAGCCACAGCTGTCAGGAGAGGGCACCAAGGCCAACCAAACAGGGTGACTCCATGGCCTGAGGACTCCTGAAGTGGAGAGGCAGCAGTCTGAGAGGTTTCTGCAGGCTGAAGCCTCTCTTGGTGCACCCAGAGTTCTCCACCTTCTTGGTGCCTGTGACACCTCGGGTTCCAGACCTGCAGTGTGTCAGGGTCATTCCTCAGCTCTGGATGGGTTTTGCTTCTGCTGTGAAAGCATCCCTGAAGCTGCTGCAGCCAAAATCCCCTTCCCCAGGAGCTGTGAGTGCTGGCAGCAAGGGTCTCCAGGTGGCTGTTGCTCAGGGACTGTCTGAGCATCATCTGGGCTGATGAAAAGTGATGGGTTTTTATCAGTTGGTGGGGTTATTTTTGGTAGGTTTCCTTTTCTCAGTTGTATTTTTTCTCTTATTGAACTGTCATGGAAAGAAGGAGGAAGTAGGGGGGGGCATTCAGAGTTGCAGCATTTGTCTTCCCAGGTCACTGTTACATGTGAGGGAGCCCTGCTCTGCTCCCCATGGCTGCCCACCGATGGGAAGGAGAGAATGAATCCCTTATTTTCCTTTGCTTGTGTGACAGTTTTGCTTTATTTATTAAACTGTCTTTAAGTCACAGCTTTCCTCACTCTTGCCCTTCCAGTTCTGCACCCCCTCCCAGAGCCCTGGCAGGGATCACTGTTGAGCTCTCCATGGCCCCTGGTAGGGGCAAAATCTCCAGGGCTGTGTGTGCAGGAGTCCTTTGTCTGCCTCAGCATCCCCTGTCTCGACCTGCCCAGGGAGCTCTGCAGGGAAACCCTTCCTCTGCAGCCCAGCTCAGAGACACCACAGGCTGGGCACACGTGGTGGGCAGGCTGTGCTCCTTCAGGGCACCACAAATGGCACAGGCTGAAACCTCTAAGCCTGAAGCTGATGGCAGTTTTGCATCTAAAAACCCTCAGAGGAGTCTTCAGCCCCTTTTGGTCCCATCCATCCCCCTCCCCTCCTGCCCTAGTGAGACCCAGTGGGAAGAGCCACCATCCCAGCCCCAGTTGCAGGCAGCAGCGAAGTTGTGGGGCTGGGAGAAGAAAGGACACCACTCTCTGATATCACATGAAGTAAACTTTATTTTGTGGCTGTGATCAGCAGGCAGGTGCTGGCAGGGCCAGCAGCATTCCAGGATCTGGTGCTGGGCTGTGGACGCAGCGCAGGGCTCTGGGAGCCCTCTCCCAGCAGCTGGAACATCCATGGCCCCTTCTGAGAGGGTGACTGTAAACCTCCCTTCCCACCAGGATGTTGGGTAGCCTGAACCAGGGCACCCACTCCACATCACGGGGCACGAAGTCCTTGCTTTTTTATAAGCGTTCTAACTGCTCTCTTCACCCAGTTCTCCTCTGGGTTTGCACAGACCTTGGCTCCTTTCTTGGTCTCAAACCTGCCAAGGTTAAAGGTGAAGCTTTGTGAGGAATGACAGCTGTGATTTCACACCATCTTCCCACCCCAGCAATCTTTCTCCTTTCCCTTTGTCCCTGTGTGCTGCCCCTGGGCCCTTGGTGTCCTACAAGCAGCTGATCCTGCAGCTCAGCAGCTGCAGAGCCCGCGCAGAGCCCTCAGGAGCTGCCATGGCCTTGCAGAAGTGCCCAGACAGTCACGTCCTCCCTCTTCATGCTGGAAGATCATAGAGATTACACAGACTTGTCCCTGGCCTGTCCCCAGATGGAACAGGTGAACTGAACCCGTGGCAGCCCAGGAGACAGCACAGCAGTAGGGAAGTTGCCAGGACTTACACAATTGCTGGGAAAAAACATTCCCTGGGAGTTGAGTAGAAGCCCACGAGGTTGTCCAGCCGGAGAGGGCCCTTTACGTAGTCGAAGCAGCACTCGGTTGGAGCATAAGGGGCTGGAGGAAACAAGGAGGGACGGTGAATGCTGGCTCTGGAAGGCAGCTTGTCTTCAGGATCTTCCCCCATCACAAGGCTGATGACCACAACATCCCCCAAGCTCTGCAAATGCTGCCGTGAGGAGCCCCAGGTGCCCTCCTCCTTCCTTCCCGGGGCAGAAGGATGCTCCAGGTTATCACCCAGCCCTGCAGCAGCTCTGCCAAAGCCACCCAGCCCCAGGAGCAGTCTCCATCCTTCCCTGCACCCCAGGATGCGCTGCTCTGCCCTGGCCAGGGGTTGCTCCTCCTGCCAGCAGCACCATCCCTGCTCCACACTGGGGTTTCCTTCCTCACTACCCCAACAGGTCAGCCCCGAGTCCCAGCCAGCAGCAGTGGCCCATGAGGTGCTTTACCTGCATCAGAGCATGGGGAGAGGGTGAGGAGCATCACGAGCAGCAGGACTGTCCTTGCAGTGAGCATGGTGGCTCTGGGAGGGCTGTTCCTCACAGGATGCTGCTCTGCCTCTTTGGCCAGGCTCAGCTCTGAGCTCAGGCAAGGAGGTGCTGCAATTTATCCTCTCTACCCCTCCCCAGTTATGCCTCTTCCGAAGAATTTGAACCAAATTCAAGGAGAAGCTACTAATTCATTACCCGTGGGGATTTCCGTGTCATATGGGATCGTCAGGATTACAGACAGACAGACAATACCTGGAAAGACTAAATAAATTGTGTCAGCTTCTGTGCTCACCCACACAGGGAAAGTTATAAGGGAAGTGAAATCCTCCTCTCTGCAGATGTAAACTTAAGAGCTCCTGGGCTTTCAGAGAGGGGATTCATAGCCATAGGAAAGGCAAAGTTTGGTGTTCCATGCAAGGTCACTCAGCCCAGAGCCAACACAAATGTCTGGATGGCTTGTGAATCCTGGAAAGCATTAAACAGAAACAGTGAGTGGTGCTGCCACCAGCCCTCTGGCTTGAAAGCAGCAAGTTGGCAAATGCTGGCAGAAATTGAATCACATTCCATGTCAGTACCATGGAGAGGAACACAAGCTTTCCACCCAAAATCCCTGCTTATAACTGGGCAGTGAGGGGGAAGAAGAAAAGGGGAAAGGGGGTGTAGTTGAGCCTTTTCTTGGGGACAGAGTTGGCTTAGCCTTGGCTTCAGGGCAGGGCAGGAGTCAGCATTAGGCTGAGGGGAATGGATGGAAAACTTACTGTTCAAAGTTTTTGGGTGTCTTTCCATCACCTTCCTCCCTCCACAGCCTTGAGGCATCCCAGATCCTGCAGGGACCTACAGAAAGGGGTCAGACTCTCTGTGGGGGACAGTTCTCCCCCTGTGCTGGGCTCCCCCTTCCTCAGACCTCCTGAAGGTCGAAGGAGCCCCTCTGAAGGTCCTTGTCAGTCATGCTCAGCTCGGACATTTTTTTCACCTTTCCCTCTTCTTAACCTCTTTTTAACCAGACTCTAAGTGGGTGCATGGAGCAGTGGGGTCCCATGCAGATCCCCTGGCACCACGGTCCCCCTCACTCCCTGTGAGCTACCCAAGGGGCCACCTCAAGCCCTTCTTCACACTGACACCCCCCAGCCACTCTCTGGAGCAGGATATTGTGCCTGGGACTGTCACCCCTGGATGTCTTAAAGTAGTTAGGAGAAAAACCACCCAATGCTGAGAACTGCTCTGGTCATGCTCAGTTCTCCCCAAGCCAGGCTTTGTCAGACACATTTCTGCTGATGGAAGCTCAAGATCCACTGCTCTGGATGGACATCAAGCTTTTGAGAGCTGTGTTTATTTTTCTAGTAGAAGATCTGGCCTAGGATGCTCTGCTTCCCTTTTCTCAAGATTTGAAGCCCTGTCTGTGGAAGCCAGATGACTCACAACTCCCTGGAGACCTTTTGGTGTTTCGTTTAGTCTTTGGAAAGGGAAAGGCTGATATGCAGGCAATAATTGTTAAGTGCTGGAAAGCCCCTCTGCTGGCCCAAGTTTTCCTTTAATTTGAATAATCTGAATAATGTGCTTGTTTACATAAAAAATGAAAGCATTGTTGTTATTCTGCAAGAGGAGGAGGAGGGAAGCTGAGGGGACATTCAGATGCAGCATTCAGATGCAGAGGGGACCCTTCAGATGCCAGCAATGGTGCCAGTGAGGGGACAAAGGAGTCAGGCAGAAGAGCCCCGTGCTGGGTTTGGGGTTTCAGTGGGTGACTGAGCATTCCCAGCTGTGCTGGAAAACACAACCACGGACATGGTGCACTGGGGAAAGCTCTGCAGGAGCAGCTGGGCTGGAGAAAGGGGCCTGAAACCTGTCCCCAAGGAGGAGGTGGGAGAGTTTGGAATAAGTTTTCACTGTTTTCTTCTGTTCTACTCAGTCACTTTGAATCTTTTCCGTTTACAATATGAGACATCCTTATTTGGCTTGTTTAAACCCTCTTTACCCTTTCTGTGTGTAAAGATCCTCCACAATTCTTTGGGGTGCTCACTCTCCACAGCTCCCTGTCAAAGCCCTGATTGACTCAGGACACAATCACAAGCCAAAGGTGATTCTCTTCTTCCTTCCCCAAATCCCTGGGATGCCAGGTACAGCCATGCCAAGTCCCACAGCCTGGAAGGACACTCTAAAATTAGAAAAATGAGAATCTCTTCCAAAGTCTGCTTCCTACAGCTGGACACTGGGGAGCACCAAGTACTGTAAGCCGCAATCCGAGATGCATCCTGTGTGGGAAGTTCTGCCCAGAGTCATGAGACACAGGGGCTGCAGGAAGGCTGTGCCAGGAGCTCTTCCAAGGTTCTGTCTGCTCTAACCCACTGGGCAAGCTTGTCCACAGAACAGAAACTCACTGTGGGCATGCGGGAAACCCTCACAATTACGGCCAAGAAGAGTCGTGAGTCAATGCACCTGTGCCAGGAAATGGAAGTGGCCTTATCTTGCTAAGGAAGATAAAATAATGGACCTGATGTCAGTTTCCTCAAACATATTAAAAACGAGACATTTTTCCATTTTTATCCAATGAGGTCAATCAACTACCTCAGGGTTAAGGGAAGGATGGACCTGGGGTGTGAAGGAGACTGCACTGGAGAGGCTTTTGTATGGAGTAGCAATCAGGGTAGATGATGCTTGATGAGGACTTCAGGCTCCTTTTTTCAACTTTGAGACTTTTAGGGCTCTTAGACTTTAAGCAAGCAGCAGAGAGGCTTCAGCTCAGCTTTTAAAGCAAAGCTGAGGTGACAGAGAGAAATAGGACATGGAAGCAATTCCAGTCTAATTTTTAGTGATTTAATTCTGATAATTTCGAGATGGCACTAGAACAAGTTATGAATTTATCTGCTCCTTAGTGTTTGATTAGAATAAAACCCCAGCAATCAGAAAAATAAATGCAGTTAAAGAATGTGTGGAGCAAGACAGGTAAAGGTGCCTAGATATTGTAATGAAAATGTGTTTGTGATGGGGTTATGGTCAGAGTCAGCAAGCTGACATCACATCCCTCCTTGGAGGATGACTCTCACATATCTATCTTTCTCTTTTTTAAATTATTTGGTTTGTGGCAGAATTCAAGGGTGGATTCTGAAGGCTCAAGAAATGAGCCTTCCTCCATCACCTGTGACAGTCTCCAAAGAGGTCCCCAGCAACCTCCGTGTTACCCAGGGGGGACTTCAGCAGCAAGAGCAGCCCTTGCAGTGACATCAACAGGGACACAATTCCCATTAAAGTGGAGATTTAGCAAATGCAAAGCCCGGCAGAACCACAGCCAGGCAGCAGAACTGTGGTCCCTTACCCTGAGGGCCAAAGCAGCTGGGGAACATCCTGCCCTTCGCTGAGCCAGCGGCGTGAAAGTGGTGGTGCATCAGCTTCACCAGAGGCTGCCCAAAAAATGAGAGTTCTTGTGCAACATTTCACAGGAAAGAGACCATGCTGAGACATGTCAGAAATCACAGCCCAAAGCAGAGAGGATGGAGGCGGCATCTCCTCTCCTCCACCTCACACACTGCCCTGGGGAGAAGTCAGAGCTTGGAGGAGATGATAGCAGAGGTGTCTCACTGCCAGCTGCACTGCAGGAACAGTGGGAGGGGACAAGCCAGGGGCCAAGAGTGACCCCAGCACAGGCAGCGTCCTCAGCAGCGAGGTGACAGCCCACAGGGTCTGAGCACAGGGTCAGAGCCTCCATCAATGTCCCCAGGCACACCAGCATAAGGAACCAAATCCAGAATCCATTTGGGAATGTTGGGAAACCTTCTCAGCAGTAACAGGAGATGGGGACAGAGACAGGGCTCTAACCCCAGAGGGTCCATCCAGCCAGGAGATGAGATGCCTGCAGCACAGATCCAAGGTCTGTCCAAGGGACTGGATCAGAGCCAGGACATCAGAGCAGCCCTCACAAGGCAGCAGGGACCAGAGGCTCAAGCTTGAGCTTAGATGGGGTTCCTGAGGCTTGGGCAGAGGACTGGGAGATGTTGTGGGGGTGAGTCCACCCACAGATGAGGCTGGTCAGGATAATTACGGCCAATTAGTGCCCTCAAGGCCTGACATTATGGATCCTGTGGACAGGAAGAGATGGAGGTGAACCTGTGTGGAGTCCCTGTGACTTCTCCTTCTCACAAGCTCAATTAAAACAGCTGCTAATGACATGGAGGAGGTGTTGTGGAACTGGAAATGAAATGTGGGTTTGTAAGGGCTGAGAGAGGTCACTTCATGACCATGGGTCCCCCATCTCCCCTGGGCTCTGGGGAAGCATCAAGGCAGGATGTGCATCTTTCATACCATGTGCAGAATGCACCTCTCATCCCCCTGAGCAGAACAGATGTGGCATTAATGATCCCCTGGACCAAACTCTACCCCTGAGGCAGCCCACGGAGCTCCAGGGGGAGCAGGGGAAGGTGTGTGGGGGGACACCCTTGGCACAAGGTTTTTCCCTGCACTGCCAGACACCAACACCAGCAAAGCCAGGGAGTGTGTGCCATCCACAGGGACTGAGCACCCAGAAACTCCAGAGGAGCTCCCGAACAGCCCTGCTGGCGCCAGCTCTGCCTGACGGAAATAATCAGAAATGACTCATCCAGTCAGGCCTGGCTTGTTTGCACTGCCTCCTTCCTCGCCTGCCCTGTCCTCAACAGAGAGGAGAAATGAAATTGAAAAAAAAAAAAAAGTGCTTTCGTTTCCTTCGAGTTTTGTTATCCCCCAAATGTCCTTCCTGGCCTGGTGACTCAGCTGCAGGAAATTTTCATTGACTTCCGCATGTGCCTAGAAGGGCACGGGGCTGAGAGATGCTTGGGATGAGAGCTCCTGAAACTTAGGGAAGATGCTCATCCCTGACCCTCTTGCTCCTGCCAGCTCCCCGCTCCAGGCAAACCCCTGAGAACTGACTCTTTCACTGAGTTGCTCTTCCCACCCCTCCAGCACCAGAGAGTAGCACACGAGGGCAGCCCAAGCCCTGGCTGGGGTGGGAGAGGTCCCATCTCAGCCTTTGCCCTCCTGCCTCCTCACAGAACAGACTTGGAGTGCAAGGTTTGCTGTCTCTGAGCTGCTGTTTGGCCTTAGCTTTGCTTAAACAATGCAAAACCCCAGCTGTTTGTTTTCCCTATTTCCTTAGTAAGATGGGAAACACAAATCCCTGTGAGGAAATAGATTTCTTGCAAATATCTGCAAGATCAAAACCCTTGAAGGAGAAGGAACAATAGCCTGGCCACATCCAGCTGTGACAGCTTTGCCATCTCTTGGTGATGCTGGGATGCTTTCCACAGTGCTCAACCATAGGTGTCCATCTCTGCAGGGACCAGGCTTGGTAACCCAGCCCAAGGCTCAATCCCCTGAGGATGAAAGTTTTAACATAAGGACTTTATTACTTCTACTTTTATAAAAATGTACAGCTCATACCTCATGCACACAATATACAAATGAACTGGAGCTTGTAACAGTCACTGTGCTCTACAGCAAGTGGTATTTTAACCCCCAGAAATGGGTGACACCCACAGGCTCCATCCTCCCTCCCTCCCAGAGTGCCCACTGCAGAGAGAGGAGCAGCAGTGTCCCCCTGTCCTGGTTTCACCTGTCCCCTGGGAGGGTGCCAGCACCCTGCCCACAAACAGCCGAGGCACAGGAGAGGGGAGCAGGGAAAGCACAGGGACAGGGCCAGCCTGGAGAAGCAGCTCCTCCTGATGAGTTCTGGTGGGATCACAGCAGCTGGGAGAGGGTGGGAGCTGGTGGTGGAGCTGAAAGCAGTGTCCTTCAAAGCCTGGTGGGACTCCAAGTGATCTGACTGGTGCACATCCATCTCCCAGCACTGCTCCAAGACAAGCACTTCACCTGCAGCAGACAGCTGTCCACCCCGTTTGCTGAAGGGCCTGGACAGTGATCCAGCTCCCATGCACAAGCCATCTAAGACCAGCAACAAAATAGACAAGGCACAGTGTTTTCCAGCGCTGCCAAAAAGGTCTCGGCTCCGAGCAGCTCAGATAGGACATTACATACATTCAAAAAGCTATAAAACTTTTTTACAAAAATAACATTTCTAGTTTTTCATATAAAAATAATGCCACAGTACACCGCCTCACGAGTTCCAGCTGTGCACAAGTGGGGTGCATGGGGAGGTGGCACTGGCAGAGCCAGATTTACCCTCTAGGAAAATCAACCCCAACCAGAGTTCCACAGCTGAGCTGCTGCTCAAGGAAGGATTTCACTCCAAGTTAATCATTGCAATTAATCAGATTGCATCCTGTACTTGCAAAGGCCAAGATGAATCTCTCAAGTCAGCGAAATGCAGAAGGGATGTGTGATGGCAGAAAGCAAACAGTTGTAGTCTGTCCTCTCCCCCTGCAGGGCTGGATGGATGCCCTGGAGGTGCATTCTGAGCACTGACAGATCTTACGGGCAACGTTCCTCGAGCTCTGCTTTACAGCTGGCCCATCGTTTCTGATGATCTTGCTCATTATGTTTTTCCTTTCATTTTCTGCATGCATATTTGTACTGAGGGGTCTGATCCACTGAGGCTGGATCAGACCCTTTATTTGTATTTACTTACAAAGCATCATATCATGAAGACCTTTGCACGCCCCAGCAGAATTCATCCTGGAGTCAAAGTTTAATAAGGGCTTTCAGGACTTGACCACAGATAAAACATAAGACTTATGTACAGAAATATCAGGATGTGTAAAAATCAAAATCAATTTGGGGTTAAAAAAAGCCTGGTTCTGTTACAATACTTTCATAGCCTGGTGATCAGTGCTACTCAAAATGGAAAAACTAAAACGTGGCTGAAGTATAGGACCAGGAACAGGCATTTCGTGCTTTTTTTTTTTTTTTGTGGATCAGCAAATGTGCTTATTTCTAGAGAGAAAATGGGATCAAAAGGATGTTATGTCTGCTGTGGTAGAGTAATTCCTGCATGACTACATTCAGAATTGCCTTTAGTTCCACATTTCCTGGGTTTTGTGCTTGCAGAGAACAGCAATAATGTTCCAATGATAACACAGGAATAGCAGAATTATTGGGGGACTTCTTGTTTTCTCCCATTTGCAAAGATTCCTCAGCATTATCCTGCTCTGCTGCTGGATGCAGCAGGACACAAGGTGCATCAGCTGGCAGAAGGGGTTTATTGCATTGATTTGCCAAGAATCAGCTCTTAGAATTCATCTGCAAGAAGAAATACCCATAGCTGCTAAAAGGAGGGGCCTGATTTCAAGGAGGAGATAGACTGTGGGTTGCCAGCTTCTCTGAATATAAGATCTGTAGTACTGACCTTCAGTTCCCTGATCAGACGCAGTGTTGGTCAATTATTCCTGAAAAGCTGGGCCATCCCTCATGTCTCCAGCAAAAGAAAATGATGAGGGTAAATTCTATCAGCCCAAGGAGAGCCAGCACCCAGCTGGCCACCAGCTTCAGTCTTGGTCTGACAGAGCAGAGACCTGAAGTGCAAAGAAAGAAGCAGCAGAGAATTTAAGTGCAAATTGTGTGGGTTTGGTGTTAAGATTGCTCAAGCTGGCTGAGCCCAAGTCCAGCAGTGTGGGTGGGTAAGTGACTTCTTGCCTGGGCCATGATGAACCACAGAAAAATTCCCAACAGTGACTTGGAAAATCACCTGGCAAAGAGCCACCAACAGCAATAGAACAGCCACAGCCTTTGTACATGACAGTGACAGTAGAAAAGAAGTGTCTCCCTCATTTCCAAAACACTATGATTGGTCAATGATGAAGTAGATCTATTGTTGGACATTCTGCTCTACGAAAAAAAAAAATCAGTTTTCTCTGTGATTTTTATTCCCAGGCTTTCTTCCTACTGGTCATCAGTTCAGCATGAAGAGCTTTTCTGCAGCAACACACATACAGTTGAGGCCAGAAATGCCCATGCCATGAAGCATTCATATTACTTCCATTGGATAGGCATTGTCTTGATGTCCTGCCTGCTGGTAGAGCAAGCCCTGTACCATTTCTCTTGATGTTTCTTCTGGTTTGACTCCAAATTTCAGATACACCCATACAAGAGCAACACTGCTAACCATCAGTCCACACACCACAGAAACTGGGATGACAAAGTGCATTTGAGACTTTGACAAGAAGCTGGGCAGGGGGAGATTTTTTGGCCTGACTGTGATCATCTGCACTCTGGCTTGGCCTGAGAATGCCCGGTGAGTAAAAACTGTGTCTGAAGGCTCTTGCTTCCCTACAGGCAATGAATGATCAAATGCTGTGGTACCAAACACATCTGCAGAAGGATCAACAACCCTGTTGGTATGGACAGAAGCAGCTTTGCCTGTGGCAGTGGTGGAGCTTAAAGTAGAAACTGAAATAGTCTGTGGTGCTGTCTCTGTGATTGTTGTGGTCTTCATGCTGTCCCAGATGGAGGGGAGATCTGACCTCGAGCTGCTGGAAGCAGTGTCTGGTGTGTTGGCTCTGGCATTTGTAGGGTCCAGGGATCCATTTGTAGGAAGTACAGGTTGGTTTGATCCTCTAGCAGCATCCCTCAGGTCTGAATTTGAGTTAGGAGAAGCTGTGCCTTGAACAGTGGGGTGTAGGGTGGGCTGGCTGGAGCCCACACCAGCTGCAACAGCTGATGAAGATGCAGGAGAATTTGAGGACACTCTCTTTGCTTTGGAAGCAACCTCAGAGTGCGCAGCCTCTTCCTGTGCCACAGGGGTGGATCCTGCAGGGAGCTGGGTGGGGTCCTGCCTGCCCAGTGGGGACTTGCTGGGCATCTCTGTGCTGGCAGCAGGAGCATGTATTCTCTCCCTAAGGGTTGTTCCAGCCCCTTGGAAGAAACTAGGTGGAGCAGTGGCTTGAGGTGGAGCCACTTTTGGAAGACCAACTTGTCTCTCAAGACTACCAGGCTCTTCAGCTGAAGCGACATCATGTGGTGGCATCACTGTGGCATTTTTCCCATCCAGTTTGTCTTTGAGCTTCTGCACCCAGCCTTCCTTTGAATCTGCACAAATCTCTTTGTCCTTCAGAGTAATAAATCTGAAAATAAAAAGGGATCACTTACTGAATAAAGGAAACCCCGGTTCAGGTGATCAGAGCTATGGGGAAGTTGTATAAATAGCAAACACCAAGTGTTGTCTGGATGATTCATTTCAGGAAGGGCAGGTGCCTCTGATATCTGACTGAATGAGTAGCAGCATGAGGGTGAAGGGTTTTCCCCTAAGAAGTTTTTCACTTTCAAAAGCATTGTCCTGCATGGACACAGCATTTTGCACTTGCACTCAGGGCAGGAAGCTCCACAGGTAGCAGCTGCCCCAGGGCACACATGCATGAAGGCAAAACCCTCTGATTTACTGGGTGATGTGAGACTTTGCGAGGTCAACCCAGCAGCTTCACTTTGGAGCCATCCCCTGGGCTGCAATAAAATGGTGCATCAACTTCAGCATAAGTGGGAAACAACAATTATCCCAAAGAAAAGAAATGGAGCTTTTCTCCTTTCCAGACAAGCTCACAAGTCTGAATCTGTCTTCAGACAAAATATCTGCTTTCAGAGAAATGCGTGAGCTCTCCCCCTGTGTTGTTTCTCTGCCCTGTCCTGCCAAGTACCTCCCTCAGCCCCTTTTCCCATCCATTTAACCCTGATCCCACTTGGAAGTGGGGCAGCACTTACATGATGGCTTGTTTTTTGCAGCTGGGTTCGGTCAAGCGGTATCTCCTGATCTGCTTCTCCGCTAACTCCTTTGTGAAAGCTCTGCACTCTACGGAACACCTCCGAGACGCTTTGGGTTGTGCTGAAATTAAAAAGTCACCTCATAAAGCATTGGCTTTTTATCAGGGCCTCTCAAATCCAGCACTGTTTCTTGTCCCCCTTCTCCAGGGAAGAGTCCAAAGCTTGCCACAAAAGTTTCCAATCCCTGCTGAGATGAAGACAGATCCTGATGAAGACAAAGCCAAATTTGCTTGTAGCATCTACAATGCTACTACAATGCATCTACATGCAGTATCTAATAAGAAACCCAGAAAACTGAGGGGAAAAAAAGCACTGTGAAAATTGTGGGCTTTTGGGACAGTGTTTCAGCTTGTCCTGTAGGATGTGCAAACCCCTGGACCTGCAGGTCCTTTCCCCTTTGGGTACCAGGAAGACTGGTCTAAAGACCTGCTGCAACCCTCACCCAAGGGCTCTTGGTGCAGGAGATGCAGACCAGTGGGCAGGGTGCTCTGCTCTCTCCTTATCAGTCCTATCTCTTCCTCCTGTAAGACTTTCCCTCCAGGTGAGTATCCTGCCTCTCTGCTTGCTAGTACAGGGTCTCTGAACACCACCAGGGCTCAGAGAAAGGGTGCAGAGAAAGAACCTTTTGGTGATTAATGCTTCACTCCCACAGGGATCTCAGCAGCCCAGCTTCCCAAACACATCTTTTTGACCTCCACCAGAAAATACCCTTTTCAGTTTGCAAAGTGTAAAAATACCCCCCCTCCTTGACCCCTTCAAGGGGCAAGGCCGGTCACACCTCTGGGGACCATTCATGCCTGCATCTACCTCCAGCCTCCCACAACAGGCACTTGCACAACACATCCTGCCAACTTGTTCCTGACATCCCTGGGGACAAGATTTACAAAAACAAGCTCTGGTTTATCTGGGGCCCCTGAGAAGAAAGGAACTGGAATCTGGTTTCAATCAGGCTTACAAAATGTTGCCTCTGATTCCCAAGTGAATGTGGTGAATTTTATGCCATTCAGTTAGGAATGATCCGGGTACCAGCTACAAGAATGAGCACCAACACAGGAGCACTCTGAATCATTTACTGGGGAAAACTCTGTCTGCAAAGAAATCCCAAGCAAACACTCCTGTGGCCCCTCTACAGAAGCCCATTTCCACCTCTAGGTCAAGTCAAGTTAAAGCAAAACCCTTTTCATACAATAATGTTTTCTGTGGCACTTTAGGGTCAAGAATTCTCTGCTCAGGGGCAGCAGATTTGCCAATTAACTCTCATTAGCCAGAGGATATTCTGCTGGTATCCTCCACTTTCAAGAGCACAGTTCAACAAAACAGGCACAGTGACAAGAAGGTCACACTGTCCCAGTGGGTAGCCAGCGACATGCGTGGTGGGGAGCATCCCTGACTGCTCCCAAAGGCCCTGCTCCTTTGAGAACCCTGAACTGATTTTACAATTATTGGCACTAATGCAAATGGTTTCCATTTGGCTGAACTCCTGGTATGTTTTTCCCAGAGTGGAGGAGCTCGGAAAGCACCTTCCACGGACAGAGGGGTGACACAGGGAGCATGGAGCCCTCCTCCTGGGGCACACAACCCCACTTCTCTGAGCTGCATCTGAGTCTTTGCCAAAGAGATCTGGGCGTTTCTCCACCCAGAACCATTGCTCTTAGGAGCTATTGGCACCTGCTTTTCAGCACAGTTCCTCAAGAGACCCAGGGCACTCCACCAGCCTTTTAGCAGAGCCAGCCCTATTTCCTCGTTGTGGGGGAAATGGATGCTTGGCCATGGGTGAGCAGAGTCAGGCAGTGCCAGGCAGGCAGCAGGTTCTCCAGGGCAGGATAAGCGGCCTGGTGTCCCCGCTGTCCACTTTCCTCGGGCCAGCCCTGGAGAACCTGCCCAGAGGTGTGCGGAGGGAGAAGCTCCATCGCCAGCCGTGCTGTCCTCACTCCTCCCGTCTGGTGGCAGCAGGACACGGATCTCAGGGGCCCTTTGCCCCTCTCCCTTCCCATGGTGGGAATGGATCCCCCCTCGGCTCTGGGCAAGGTCCAGCCTTGCCTGCGGTGCTGGGAGCGTGTTCCAGCCCAGCCCCGCCGTGCTGCAGGGCTGCCCCGGGCAGCGATCTGTGCCACGGGCACACACAGCGAGCCCAGCCCGCTCGGCACCGCCCGCAGCTCGCAGGGCTCCATGCAGAGAACCGGAGAGCGTCTCCCACTCGGACACACGCACACCCTGCCGGGGACAAAGCCCCTGCCCCACAGTGCTGGCAGCACCGGGACAGGTGCAGTCTCCTCAGACACCCACCCTTGGCCAGGCTGCAGTCTTCCTGCCAGGTCCCCAGGGACTTGAAAAAAGGGGGACAAGAAGTACATCAGGCTTTTCCCCTAACACAGGTTACCACTGTCCCCATCTGCCCTCAGGCGTGACAAAGGCCACGGCGGGGCTGCTCGGATGTCCCTGCTGCCAGGACTGCGGCCATTGGCATCCCTCCCCCCCCCTCCCAAAGTCAGCCTGATCCTGCTGTGACATCTCCTGCATCCCACAGAGGTCCCCACAGCCCGGTGCTGTGCCTCCTCCCCCGCTGCCCGGCCCCACGACATCCCCTCCCGAAGCTGCGGCTCACCTCCAGCCAGGGTCGCCAGGCACAGGGCCCACAGCAGCGGCAGCCGCATGGGGACACAGGCAGCCTTCATGTTCCCGTGGTCGGCACAAGGAAAGGCAGGGAGGGATTACCGGCAGTATTCCCCACTCCCGGCTGCTTACGGCGTCCTCCGGAGCAACACAGATGCTGCCGCTCATTCCAGGATTATGCAGCCCCGAGCCAGAGCTGTAGTTGTCACTGGGCTCCGTCACACGTGTCCAGGGTGACGACAGGAGGCGGAGGGAAGGGAGGGACGGGGGGGAATAGCGTCTGCTGTGGAGCGGGATGGCTCCTGGAATTCCCCAGGTGTACGGCCACCAGCTTTCCCTAACACGGGCACAGCAGCCCCAGACTACTGGGCAAATTATTCAGGCAGGGACTTTCAGTGGTCGGCTGCTCCCTCCTCCTCTCCCACCGATGTTTCTCTTAGCCTGCGCCAAGGCAGCACTGTCCTTAGGCTTGTAAAGCTCCCCCCACCTCCTGCTACAGCTCCCCGCTGCTCAGTAAGCTCATTAATTACCCAAAATGCCAAAGCAGTTATTCCTTTCATTTTTGGCAGCCATCTTATAGCAGCAGTCATTAGGCCAAAATAGACAGAATTTGCTAATCAGGATTCTGAGTTCATCAGCTACCCCTGGATCTCAGGCCAGGCTGCCTCTAAGGAGCATCACCAAAGAGAGGGATGAGCAGGGACCCAGTGACTCTGCAGGCAGCTCCTGTGCCCTGGCCGTGCTGCCTGCAGTGTGTGCTCGCTATGACAGCCTGATTTTCCATATACACAGGGGCTCTGACATCGGGGTCTTGCCGATGCTGACAGCAGGAGACCCCCAGCTCTGCAAGAGCCAGGCTGTCTCGGGGCTTTCCAGCAGCAGCCCCAAGCCAGGTCAGAAGCGGACATACCAACACTGCAGTCACATCCTGCACCCTTACTTTCTCTTTCTTCTCAAACAGAACAATCTTCCCCTGCCAGCTCCCTCTAATGAAAGATGAAGATAAACTTAGAGATCTTTACTGCCAAAGTTTTCTTAGGGCTGGTGGAAATCCGGCATCTCTGTGCTGTGGGAAATTCCAGTGGTTCCAATTTTAGTTTTTCAAAGAGAAAACCCCCAAGTTTCTAGATAATGCATTTGGTGAAAATCCCAGCCTGCAACTTCAGCTTTTGTTTATACTGTATTAGAAGAAAAAGCCCATTTCAAGGAAATAAAATAAAAATTAAGGTTGAAATAGTCTGTTTGATCCAGCAAGAACAGAACATGCTGAGTCTGTTGGGATGTTTTCTGAGCCTTCCCCAAGCAGTGTTTTCTCAGGCTCCACACAGAGCCTTTCCTTGTTGCAGGAAATGGCACTGCCTGAAGCCATCGGGCACCTTGGCTGCTGGAAGTGATGGCACAGCCCACACATGCTCACATCTCCCCTGAAGAAACAGGTTCTGCTTCTTCTGCAAAGGGTTTGCTGCCAGAGATAGGTACAACAGAGAAAGGTCTCTGACATCCAGGTAAGTGGGAGGGGGAGTGCTTTGTTTGCCAAAGGCCTGACTTGCCACAGGCGTTGTTGTTTTAAGGCACAAGCTACGCTCTGGCTGATAATGCAGCTGCTGTTCCACTGCAGGTCAGGCTGGAGGTGTTTTACCTGGCAGAGGACTCCTCTAGGTCACTTTTGGACATCTCCATTTGCTCCCTGTGAGCTCAGCAGCTGGATTTGGAGGTGACATCTGCAGAAGGAAATTCCACAGCAGGAGTGTGGAGGGCAGCTGCAGGCTCAGCGTGGCTCTGTGGGGCACCACGAGCCATCAAGTGCTGGCAGCAGCGAGGGCCTAAGCCACCACCAAGCTCTGTATTTCCCACCAAAAGCAGGACACAGAGGCTCAGCAACTGCCTCCAGTGGGAGCAGGCAGCTCCAATCAGTAGAGACAAAGCTGGGCTGCAGCTGGCAGAAAACTGGCACCATCACTCCCAACCCACTTCCTACACCATCCCATGCCATCCCACATCTGCTCCTCCACACCAGTGGCAGACCCTTACTGCACCTCTTTGAGGTCTTGCAGCATTGAAGAACATAAAGTCAGAGGATTTGATGTATTCCAGGAGATATTCTTGATACAACTAGTGGTAAACCACAGGTATTGTGTCAGCCTGACAGTGAAGGATCTCAGGACTTCTCTGAGCTCATCTGACCTTCAACAGATTTTAGCTTCTTTAGTTACAGTAGGAATTGTCTGGGAACTTATTTCCTCAATTTGATTTAGTTTCACTTTTGTTTCTAGCAAGAGTGGGTTGTTTTTCAGTGTAGATCTGGAGCTGTAGGTTAAATTGTGATATGGATGAGTGCAAGCAGGCAGGTAACCTCCTACATGAGCAATCCCAGAATCTCAGCATCCAAGGGGTGGAGCGTGCAACTCTGTGAGTCAGGGACATCCAAGCCTTCAGGGGAACCAAGAGCAGAAAAACTGAGTAACTGGGAACCAGGGCCAGCTTATCCCAGCCTGTTCCCGTTCTTCCTTGGGAGGTTTCTAGAGGTTACCCTTTGTACCCAAAGGCTCTCTGAAGGGTGTTACAGCAACAAAGAAAAGCAGGTAACAGGAAGAGGGTTGTTTTTTCCTCCCTGTATGTAAGTACAGTGTGGCTGAGGAAGGCTTGGAGATACGGACAAGGGGAAAACATTCACAAATATCCAGATGTGTTCCTGCCATGGAGTGTGGGCAGAGGGACCACACTGGACACTGGGCACCAACAGGGGATCCTGCAAGCTCTGGGCCTTCCAGCACTGCCCCAGGTGTGACCCTCAGCACCCACAAAAGAATGTCATACCAGAGAATTCAGTGTCCATGCTGGAGTCTGGGCTCTGTGCCTCCAGCTCCTGCTCTGCTCTGAAGACTTGTTTATATCACGACAGATGTCCTGCTACCTAAGCACTGCACACAAAAGGAGAACAAGGTTTGCTGGGGACATTGGTGACAGGCACCAGGCACGCTCAGAAGCCTGATCTGATGTCATCCCCTAACCTTTGGTTACTCACTGGCAACCTTTAGCCAAGAACTTGGTTTATTGCTCCAAACCATAGATACCACAGGTCCAAGTTCCAGATCCCATCTTACCTGGGAGAGCTGTGAAAGCAGCCCCAGCATTTCCCACCCACCACAGCTTTGCCAGGGCTGTTCACAAACAGCTAGATCTGTGCAGGGGGTCAAGGTCCTCACAGGTGGAGGGAACAAATGACTAATGTCTGAGGAATTGCTCTTGAAGGCAAAAAGCACCTTGAACCTGCAAAGCTTTATATGCAAAGTAATATAAAAAAAAAAACAACATAAAAAGAATGTGGGCTGTGTCCTAAACAAACAGGAAATTGCCCCAGAACACCTTCCATCTCCTTTAGGGAGTTTCCGTGCTGGCAATTTTTGCTATTTGGGTCTTTGTGAAAGAAGAACTGTTTGTTACAGTAGATCTGTATTCCTTGGAATAAGGTCAAGACTGAGAATTAAAAGGGAAAGTCACTGAGAGGTAGGAGCTTATATATGACCTGAAAGAAGGATGCCAGGGTGGATCAGGTATGAATGTTGATGATTCCCACTTCATGGGAAGCATGTTCAGGAGCTCCCAAGGCCTCAGGAGTTGGTGACACTAGAGCAGGGCCTGGTAACATCATCCTTGTCTGCCCACAGGATTGTCCTCCATCCCAGAGGCTTGCTGGAAAGAGGCAGCAGGAACATTTAGATTTTGGGATGGTGCAGCCAGTGTTGGTACTGCAAGGGCGACACACTGACACATGACTCCAGCTCTGGACATACACTGGGATTCTCTTTCCCCTGACAAAGCTCCCAGCTGCCTCGTGGCAGCTCATCCTCACACTAACCCACCTCTCCTCGGGGTGTTGGCAGCTCAGCCACTGCTCTGACACAAACCAACCCACCAACCCCCCCTGTCCTGGCCAAGGACACCAGTGCCAAACTCAGGAGAAGGTTCCTTAGAGCCAAATGTGGCTCCTTATTTTGGAGATGCCCTTTGGAGAAGCCTCTGTGCTTCATGTAGAGCTCTTGAGCCATTATTGTAATAAGGAAGAGAATTAAATGGCAGGGGATCAAAAGAGTCTACTTAGCACCACATGACTTTATATTTTCTCACATAAAATAATAAAGCAGGAAATGAGAAACAGATGTTTGGACCTGTCTGCATCCAATGTCTCCACAGGGGACGGAAAAACTACAAATTTGAAAGAATTGACCACTCTGGGGCTTGTGTTTTATGGAAACTGCTTTACGTAGAAAGTGTTTTCAAAAGTAGTAGAGAACATCATGCTGGCTTTCACTTCTCTGTACACAATGGCTTCCTCCTTCTCTATAAATGAGAACCAATTTGGGATCCAGCACACAGGGCCAAGTGCTGATACTCTGTATTTTCCACAGCTACCAGCCAGCATCCCAAGGCAGCTAGGCTGTGGAATGCAGCCCTTCCCCTGGCAGCATCACACCTGAGCTGCAAACTGTTGGCTGATGCCAGTGGGACACTGCAGGGAAAGGTGCACACCTGCAGTGGGAACTGGTGCCTCTCCTTGGCAGCTGGAGCAGCCTGGACTGAGAAAAACTCATCCTGTGCCTGTCCCATGGAGGCTGCAAAGGGCTGCACTGTCCACCGCAAAGAACGAGACTGAAGTTGTTTGAAATATTGTGTCTAAAGAAACAAAAACGGAGATCTTCAGTGCACAACATGGTTTAGCTCTTTCTAAACAGCCCCTTGCCTCCCACAGAGCAACACTGCCACAGGGAGCAAGCTCTTTCCAAGGAAAGGGGATGGGAAACTCTTGGGAAAGATGCCTGGATGGCAGAGGTGAAACCTGGGCAGCTTTTCAGCTGAGGGGAAGGAGTGTGAAGGGACTCTACCAGAGCAGGCTTCCCCGAACTCTTTGAGCCCTTGGCTCCTGCCCAAGTCCCTGCAGAGCTGGGGAAATGTCCTGATGTTGCAATCCTTCTGTGTAGCTGCAGGCCTGAAGGGAACAGCTCCACAAAGCTGGCACGATGGAGGAGAGACAGAGGATCTGTTCTCCCAGCTCTGGGGCCCCAGGAGGAGTGTGGAGCTGTTGGAGCGTGTCCAGACACCACCAAGATGCTCCGAGGGCTGGAGCACCTCAGCTATGGAGACAGGCTGAGAGAGCTGGGCTTGTTTAACCTGGAGAAGAGAA